ACGACAACACCCAAAATCTCTGATGTTATCAGTTCCATTAAGCTAAAAATTTTATTATTCAGGAATTTATACTGATTCATTCCTAAAATTCTATTCTTCTTCAAATAAACAAAATTATGATGTTCAAAACCATTACCAAACATCTGAAATCCATGAAATATCTTCCAATATCAACAATCATCGAAATTCAATTTAGTATACAACCTATCCCAACCCCGGGCCCTTTTTCTGTGTTGCATCTCGCTTTGGATGTTTTGAGGTGTGTGGGTCGGCATGGGACAAGTCTGTGCTTCATGAAACCTGTTGGATGCATGTTTGATCTTCAAGATGTTGAAGCCCTAACTTCCACTCAAGACGAGGAGGGATGCAGGGCCATCTGCTGGAGAATGAAGAGAACCTGTCATCGCTTCGGGCTTCTGTCAGGATCCGCTGTAGCTTCGGAGCGCAGAAGAAGGCTTTCCAGCTGTTTCGAAAACATGCCAGTTCAAGCCCAGGCATGGAGCAAGATAACGTATGTGAAGAAAGTGAGGCGTGCTGCAGGCACCTTGGACATGGCATAATCGAAACAAGGTCGCCGGAAACTAACTCTGGCTAAGGATGGCATAAGCTCCGAACCGTGTTCAGCGTCCGCAGCACTAACTTCAAAGGCTCATCAGCACTGCGTAGCCTGAGCTGTTTCTAGCGCCACATTGTCCAGATGACCAGTCGACTTGAAAAGGTCTGTGGACGAACAGAAACGAACAAAAACGCCTGCATGGGACATGCTCCCAAAACACAGACTCTCTAGTTTGGTGGTCAGGGCCCCCCGCCAGCTCGGCGCAGCCAGGGGCAGCGACCGCATAAGCCGAGATGGCGCGGCCTGTATAGCGAACTCGCCCCCAGACGGCTAATTGGAACGTCCTGAGCCCCCCTAGTCTTGACGGCATACCCGGCCTTTGCCGCAGCACCTGTCTTCGCAGTGCCTGCCTGTGGAAAAGTGGTGGGCAGCGCTGACTTAAGGGCTGACAGCCAAGGGAGCCTCGATGTCCTCTACTGCGGACGGAACTGCCTGCCACAAATGCAAACAGCACGGAAGCAGGCGCTGCTCAAAGCTTCAGCGAGCCTCCGCACCCCAACTGGCACTGCGCAGCTCCACCTTAGGTGGCTGGAAGACACCAAGAGCATCTGCAGAATACAGAAGCTTCCGTAGCACAGTCTCTTCTTCTCCGGCCATGCACAGCTGCAGAATGGATCGGTGGAAAATTGGTAGCCATGTCTCTCATCCTAGCGAAAACTTGGCCCTGCTTTGATGCTGATTGGAACAATCTGGTTTTGCTGGGCAAGGAAAGATGAAACAAGGCGAGAGCAGCCCAGCCACTGGTCATTACTTTGTACCGCTGTGCTGGGAACTGCCACAACCGACCCTAGCAGCATCACGCCGCACTTTGATGTTAACAAGCGAAAGAGATTCTTGATAATATCCCTTTTCATGACCGCGCTTTCTTGATCCGGAACTCGAGCACATCACCATCCTGGACCTGCGTGTGCTGTGATCCGCATGCTCGGCAAACCCTACCCAGGTGATCCACCGTCCCTTTCAAGCTCTCTGCAACTTGTCAAGCTTCGTCCCCGAGGCACCCAGCCACGCGACTACAGAAGGGAGTTGTGTGAGGTAACATGGGCAAATTACTATGCTTCGATGGTGCGCCTTGTAGTCCTTGCCCTGCAGCCGTGCAACTCCCGCTTTGCGACATCTCAGCAGACCAAGAATGAAGGCTCAGTGCATGCACGAAGTCCAAGGTGACGAAAGTCGTGGTCGCTGATTCAGAAAGTATATGGTGTCACGTCACAAACCACCGAGGGTCCCAGTATGCTGCGGCCAGCAGCTTTGGGCATGCAACGGAGATGAATGACTGCCAGGCTTCTCGTATATGGCTCACATCCCTACTCTGCAGTTCAGGACTTTGACCAAAGCTTGCGCGTCAAACTTGGGTCAAGGCTTTTCTTTGCTGCCGTGCTTGATCAAGTCGTCGTAGGACCTGGCTGTTTTCAAAGCCTGTGAGCTTCCGCCACGAGACCGGAATTGCAAGCACGCTTGGTGATGCCAGATCTCTGCTTGCTCAAAGTTCTTGGTGAAGTCGGAGTGGATCGCGCCGGCTGCCTCAACAGATTAACACGGTGGGAGCTTACCAAACACAGTTCTGCCATGTGGCAGCTTCATTACAAATCCGCTATCTCCACGGCTTTAGCTCTGAATCTCAACCTGTGAGCGCTAAATGCTGAGTCAACCTCCACGTACATCCACCAACTGTCATTTTCCTGCGCTGCTGTTGCTAGTTGTTGTCGACAGCCAAGATGACGATTACTGATGTTGTCGCTGCTGCTACCTTTATGGGCTGTTGATACTATTGCTGCTGTGACCATTTTTCCTCTTCTCCTTCTTGCGATCATTCTTGTACTAGTCCTGGCGCTGGACACGAGATGTTGGAAAAATCAGCAAACGACGACGACTACTACTGCTACTGCTAGTGCTACTAATACTACTAGTACTACTAGTAGTAGTAGTACTACTACTACTACTACTACTACTACTACTACTACTACTACTAGTCTCAGGAGTTGCGACAGACAGTGATGTCAGTACTATCCATGTAGATTCGGGGCCTCGTGGGCGCGGGAGCCCAGGGGCACGAACCAAGCCCTAGCCTGGCACAGGGTTTCGGGTGGAACGTCTTTTGGGGTTTAAGAAGGCAAGGAGGGGTCCAAAGAAGCAAGGTTCAGAATTTCACACGCTTTAAGTTACACTGTTTTAGTGTACTGAGGCTCGTAAGGCAAACACCTGTAAACTGCTACCCACACGGAAGAGGAATCTAGTTGTTGGAAAGGTGTCCAGGATACGCACATGTATACACACATTCACACACACACACACACACACGCGCACAAAAAATCCAAGGCAGACAGGAGTAAACACAATGGCAACTACGAATCATATGCGATAATCCTGCTGGCATTTTTGGAAAAACAATTGAAACCTCAAACGACACCTTGTTGTTTGATAATCTGTTGATCATCTGGGACTTGGAATCTTGGAAGAGTTGTGGGTGGGGCCAATTTTGATACCAAATTGCTGGTGTGGACGAAGGTGTCTTTTCAGATCAGTGCAGAGCGCTTGGGGCTGCCTCAAAGCCCGAGCACGGCTGCCCACAGCATGCAAATTGTGTACACAGTGAGGACTCCTGTAGTTTCGCTTCCGGATTTCATCTGGTCGCTCGCACCTCCATCTCGCCGACGGTGAGGAAGGAGATCAGCTTGAGAAGGCTCTGACTCTCGGCCTGAAGCTAGCGAGATGCAGGCTCCCGCAGACGTAACGACGTGAACGACGCTGGGTGCCCCGGCGAGGACTCGGCTCAGAGCCCTGGGCGAGTTGGTGTCCAGACCGAAGGACTCCAGGTACTCTGCTTGAAAGTCCTCTCGCTCAAGAGAAACAGACTGGACATCAGAGCGATGTCGCCGGACCCTTCTGCACCGGCTCGAGCCAGAACCGTGCAAGTTGAGCTCGACACCAATCACTAATCTGTCCTTGTCATCCAGCGCTGCAACTTCTGCTTCTAGTTGGGCTGACACCTGGCCGCAGGTCTTGAGCAGCTCAGCTTTCGCACATACATGGCTCTCGAAACAGGTGCATGGAACGCATCCAACAGGCACGTCTCACGATCATAGAGCTGTGCTCCAACACTTGTAGCTTGATAGAAATGCAGCTAAGTCTGACTAGGCATGACCTGGCCAGGGCAGCAAAGGGAAGGCTGGAACCTGCTCAGAAGTTCTCAATGTAGCCAGGACCACAATGATGAATCGGCTCGCTAGCCCGCCCAGGGCCTGGATGCTGTGACAGTATGTGACAGTGATAGTGACGCGGCACATCTTGCCACCATGCCTGGGCATCAGTCTGCACATGCTCCGCCAAGCCTGCGACTCTTGCACAAACAGTCTTTGCAGTCAGGCAGCTTGGGATGTACGCCGGGAAGCAGTTGGATGTAGCAACAAGGCCACACACATTCGAAAGGAGACGAGCGGCGGGCCGTGAACTCGTTGCCATTTGCGGCGTCCTGCTAGCTTTCGGCTAAGACTTAGCCGGTAAGTACGTGGGGGAGGACCGACGCCAGAATTACCTGCGGCCTGAGAAGACGGGTCCTCTGCGGCAACGTTGGCCAGGACAACCTTGGGGAGCATGAAAGTCTGGGACCCCAAAAGCCATTGCACACCTTCTGTTCTGAGCACGCCTCGGCGCATGTGGCTACAAAATCTCGGCCCGAAACCACTGGCTTCGCAGTGATCAGCTGCGCGAGGAAGTCGTCACTGGGCGACCTTTCCGAGACGGTTGGAGTGAAGCAGTGCCAACCCCATGCCTCGCATACCCGCAAGGTTTCCCAAGGGTCTCACAAACAGTCTTCGTCTTGACGGGCGAGGGCCTTGGCCGAGGTCTGCATCGCAGAAAGCTAGCACGAGTACATCGCATCTGCATGTCATTTCGAGCACCACAGCCGGTATCGGTGCTGCAGCTCTTGTGGGCAAGCACCAACTCTCTTTTCTAGGAGTCGGCGGCGGGCTGAGGCTGCAGCGTAACGCGCTGGCTTGCCATCCTTGGCTAAACAGCGAAGGCATGGGCCCTTTGTCCCGTAAGCACTGCTGCGACTTTTCGTTTCTGACAGCCACGTTCGGATCCGTGGTACCGTGGCACTGCATGGCACAGTGCCAGTTGAGGCTCGTGCCTCGAGGCACTTCAAGATCTCCTCGTAGATAGCAAGCATCTTTGCCTGGGTCGCCATGCGAGCATTCGAGACGGCATACATCTAAGCCTAGTGGCCAAACCAGTGTCTAAGATCCAGCTCCTATGTCTCACGATTTCTAGCCTGTAGCGCTGGAGAACAATAACGACATAGACAATTGGTCCAAAGGAATCCACTCGACGACCCACTGGCAACATGCGACAACTAACGTGTACAACCAGGACATCCCGTTGCAAGGGCAACAGTCGACACCAGCTCCAAACAACAACAGCGTTTGGGTTCCTTTGGAAGCATGCTCTCTACCTGCTTTATCATGAGGGTTTGGGGGGAATGTCTTAGGAGGGAGTCGAGGAGTCGAAGATGCTCCGGAAGCTTTCCAGCCCCCAAAGTCCGGGTCCCCAAAACCCGTCAAAAGGGATCGAGCTCCGAACCCCAAAATGATACTTTGAAGAACCAACAGCCCAAATAGCAACAAACAATCGAAAGCCCAAAGCAAGAAAGCAGCTGGATCCGATCCAGTAGATGGCGCCGTCGTGGCCTGGAGCATGCTACAGGGGTGAGCTCAACGGATAGAGCTGGATGACACGTGAAGCTGCGTCATTTCGTTTCGGTGAGACGTGGATCGTTACCTTCGTCGGGCATGGGGTTCGGGATCTGACAGGCGGATGCAAGTTAGGGCCTGGACTTCCGTGATTACAGTGACATTGATCTCAGTTTCGGAAGTGGGACATGGCGACTGCATGACGTGCCTTGCTGGGCCGGCACGAGCGGCGGGCGACAGAACGGCGTGAAATCGAAAAGCAGTTTTGCTCCTGTTGCCTCATGCCGCGCTGGAGCCACGTTCTGCCAGGCTCAGCAAACGCGAAAATAACGTAGCTCTGCTCAGACAATTGCACCTGCCGCCCTTGCTGGTGGAGACCGCGGTGCAGGGTGTGTTTGTCAGTAGCAGTCTGCGGCGGCGAGAAATTGTTGGCCAGCGCTGGAAACCTGTGGGTTGTCCTGAGAAGCAGATAGACCTCGATGAGGCTTGTGGCAGCGTTCGTTCGTCCTAAGACGTCTCTCCAAGCAGATTCTGTATAGATAGATAGGTAGATTCAGATAGATGGAAAGATAAGTAGACAGATAGATGGATGCATGCAAAGAGACACAATTAAGATGGCCGGACTGCCTCACAGATCGGAAGCTCAGTGTCCCTGCCTTCTTCCGCAAAGCCGGTAGTCTTTTCGAGGCGTACCTGAGTTGATGTGGAAGTTTCCGGAAATCAGGGGTACTTTGTTTTGGGGTCATTACAATAAGGATCCTACTATTTAGGGTACAAGTACTATACTAGGGTCCCCTATTTCGGAAACTCCCACGTGGGGGAAGTGCATCTCTGGATCTGCCTTCGTGTCCTGATTTCTGTCTGGTGGCCATTGGCTCCCATCCTGGAACCTTTGCAACCTCCCCGGCATCGCGGATCGAAAATCCTGAATTTTCCTGAACCATTCTGAAGCATGGCAAGCTCCAAGCTTCAAAAGCATCTGCGGCCCGAGGTGCTCGAGGTCTGCAATTACCAGCTCCTCGAGGATGGACTCGTACCTGGATCACCGGTGACCGGATACGGACTCGGATGAACAACGCGGAGGGATTGAAACCTTTGGGAAGATTAGCTGCCTGTCTTTCTTCACCAGGCATCGGTTTTGCAACAAGAGGCTCGTGCAGCAGGCCAGCTGTGGCTGCAAGAATCGTGTGTTATCACGACGTACTGTCCAAATGATGTGAAAGTTGCCGGGCCCCTGGCTCCTTGACTGGGTCGATGTTGATGGGGTCCTGAAGGGGTAGCTGGGACATTGTCTTCTCATGCTACTTCTGAATGGATCCGGCCACTCGTCTACTGCCTCAACGTGCACAACCTTCTGGTCACTGAAGCAGCGAACCACATGGAAGACCACCTGCACGGGTATCAATGATTAAAAGAAAGACCCCGCGCAGCCCGAACCACGGAGACTTTGTGACTTCGCGGCAGGTGTGTTCCACTCGCTGCAGCTGTCACGCGCAAGTTGCAAGCCACCTGCACGCCGCGGATCTGGCTCAGGAAGGCGTTGCCCATGCCCGCTCCAGTGCTGGCGCCCTGCACAGAGCGAGAAGAAAAAAATACTTTCTCTTCCGTTCCCTTTGCCTACCTAGTACTGTCAGTTTCACCACTGTGCTGCAAGCTACTGTGCCATCGGCAAGCTTCGTGCGAGCGACTGTAACACCCGCAGCACGATGCAAGAAGACTCTTTAGGCTTTTCGAGTGGAGCTGGTCATGAAAATCACCTGGAATTGCAGGGGGAGGCGGGTGACATGTGCCTATCCAATTGGTCTTGCAACTTCAGAATCATCAACCACTTCGGCAGTGACTTGGATGCTTTTGTGTCTTACCCAGCTCCGACAAGCCAATGCCTTAATCAGGCCGGCAATGTCTCGAATTTCCACTTGCCCAGGAACCTCATGCATAGCACCACGTCCCCAGACTCTGATACTGCGAGGCTCGCCTGAGTGGCCAACCGTTCGCTGAGACGAAAAGAGCTCGGCCAAGCGATCCAGTCGCGGGTCCGGCACACCCACCTCGTGACAGCTTCTTTCACCGGAAAGACTGATATGAGCAACATCGGCCCTTCGATAGCTTGCAGTAGCTTGACTGTCAAGTTTGGGACTCACCTTTCGGCCCACGTGTTTCGATGGCAGGTTTTGGAAGGAAGCAGCCTGTGGCCTTCTGCTGCATGGCCTAGACAATCATGTTGGGCTTTCGATAGGACCAGCCGGCACCTTGACGATGTTGGGCTCGATGGTGCAGAATGGGAAGTTCTCCGCTGCGGCCACTGCAGCACCTGGCGAGTGATCCCGGTATGAAGATCCAGGTCGGCTGGGAAGTCGGGAGAGCGCAGAGGACAAGACAACTTCCAGGAAGCTGGCCCGCGAAAGCGTTGAAGAGGGAGGACTTCCCCACATTCGGGTAGCCCACCTTTGTCCGCAAACTGTCGCAGGAAAGAGTTTGGTGTTCTCTTCGTTTGCGTGACAAAGAAAAGTTGTGGGCCGATAAGAGCTTGTCCCAGATGCGACAACCCACAAACAGACCTTTGACGATCCCCGATCCCGGTTCTGAGCAGGTGGCCAGGCCGCAAGCGCGGTTCAATCCTGTGCAACTGCACAGCCACAGCTGCAGCCACTATTGAAGATTGTGCTGGCACTCGAATCTTGGCAGAGGGTATCCACTGCAGTCCTCACTATGTTACTATGGTTTGGGAGCTGATGCCTGACTTCTATCTGCTTTCCCATGCTGCTAATGCAGGAGGTCTCTCGTGATGTTGCAGCAAGAAAGGATGCGATGCCTCTGGTCTGTCCAACGAGGGAGTGTCGGAAGAACCACCTCGTTGCAGCTGAAGCCAAGCATGTCCAGTACTGTTTGTACAGGGAATCCATCCTCGTGTACTTGATGGCAAACAGACGCTCTTAGCTGAAGACTGCTGGGGTCGTACCTCGGTCAGAGCACAGGCTGAACGCAGCTCAGCAAGCCTTGCACACTCCCACGCCAAAGGCCGCTTTGACCGCACTCAGGATGGTGCAGTCGCATGTACCAGCCGAGGAAACATGGACGACAACCAACGCCAGTTGCTGGTGGGGGCTACTGCTCAGGTTACACTGTTGCACTGCCGAATTGCCGAACTTGCGCAGCTAGCATTCCGTAGACAATCCTTCAAAGCTGCGTTCCACGGAAACGCGCCAACGTCATCGGTAGTTTACCATGATAAGGACCAAAGCAAATTTGATTTGCTCGTGATATCATCTTGGCACTTAGCGGCTTGTCTTTGCGCGTTGCTTGTTCCTCGATACATATATGTGCATATATATATATATCTATACTCATGGAAATAGATAGCTAGTGCGACTTTCCTGTACATACAGACACAACCTTTGATTTGTACTTGTCCTGTCCGTGTATCCGTGTAATTATATCTCTATATATCGACTTCCCCACCCATCGTCTATCTAGTTGTCCATCCATCCACCTACATTCTAGTGTGTGGCCCAAGCCGTTTCTTCTACTGCCAGCTGGGAGCCCAAAGTGCGCAGGAAATTCAAAGTGGACAGTGCGGGTGTGGGTCACGGCACAGTAAGTTAAAATGGCACTTCTCGCCCAATAACAATCAAACTCTGCTAGCTGCGGGCGCCACAGAAAGTGCACCCTTCTCTGCCATGAGCTGCTCGCACCGCTTCTCCTGCAAGCCAAACTTTCATTCACAGCACATTGGCCGGGGCTGCCAGCGATAAGTAGTCACCAATCACCCGCCATACCAGTCAGAGCATTTTCACGTTACGAGTTGCAGGGGGTCACGGTGAGGGGTTAAGTCAATATGGGTGCTGGTCCTTCTCATCGCACTTCTGGCGAAGATACTGCACCTTCATGGCAAGCATGAGTAATGCAGAAGTCAAAGTTTTCGAGAAGGTGTGAAAGTGTCGAAGACATGCTGTTACCTTACCTGTGATGATCACTTTCGCACCTCATCTCTGTACCTCTCCATCCTGCTTTCAAAGTCCTGCCACAGCCAGCGAAGACACAGAAGGGGAGGCTTGCAGACGTCACATTCCACAGCTCCTTCTGTACGGCCTCCAGCACGGCCTCCTGGCGGTCGCTCAAAGCTGCCGTGCCGCTGGGTCCATGCTGGTACAGACAAGTTCCCCCTGCCTGTCCGGCCCCTTGTCTGGCCTCGAGTCTGGGGCTGCACATGTGAGGCTTTCGATGGTGGCATATGCCGGCCCTAGCTGGTGCAAACTCGCAAGATCTCGCAAGCGCAGTTTTGTGCCAGGAAAGAGAGTTCGAAGCGTGGGTGCATCCCCCCTGCGGAGGGACACTTCAAGCCGACCTTTGTTGTGGTCCTGGACCTTAGACGATCTGATAACTCCGCAAGTGCGAAAAGCACACGAAATCAGAACTCATGGAAAGAAACTAATGGTGAGCAAACAGCTATGGTCGGGGCCTTGGTTGGCAAACCGCACGACAATAGCAGCGAGAGTACAGCTTCCTGCTCGCAAAACTGCAATGACTACTAGTTACATCTTTGCGTTGTCGCACGGGGAGATGAACTTCAGCCAATTGACATTCAAGGACGCGTCCCGCCTGCACGTCGCTGCCAGTGCCTTTCCGAGCTGGCTTGGACTTCCTCCCGCACGCTGCAGGAGTGACAGGAGTTATAGGGTATCCGAACAATGCGCGCGCAAAAGCGCACTACGTAATGTTAAGTGTTCAGCCAGGCCGCCCCCAGCCCGTGACGAGGATGAACTTGCGGTCTCCGTATTTTAAGAGAATCGGAAGGACCACCTGGGAGAGCCACCATCGGACTGCCAGCTTGGCAGCCTCAGAGTTACAATCGTGGAGATCCAGAATGTCCACTGCCTTTGCCAGCAGCCGAGGGTAAATCTGGTGTTCCTTCTCGAATATTCTCATGCCCACATCTCGTTCCCCAGCTGCAGCTAGCCCAGCATTCACGCTGGCTGAATTGAGGCCCGCGCTGCGTGCAAAGAGGTGCAGGGCAAGCTGCCACTCATCGCTTCTTGTGCATGCGTCTATGGCTGCATTGTATGTGTAAACATCTGGTGAAAAGCTGGCTTTGCAAATGCGATCGAACATCTGGCATACCATCTGCCACTGACCGCCTTTGCCACAGGCACCGGCCACCGCATTGTAGCTGCAAAGGTCCGCATCGACACCAGAGCGCTCCATTTGGTCGAACAGAGCAAGCGAAAGTCTCCACTGATCTCCATGCTCGCAAGCGCTCATGGCAGCTGTGTAGCAAATTGTGCTGGGCTGGAGAAGAGCTGTAGGCATGTCCGCGAGCAGATGCAATGCCAGAGGCCAGTGCGCACCGCTTGCACATGCGGAGATTGCGGAGCCGTAGCTCACGATTGTAGGGGCAATGGCCGGCAGTAGGCCGAACAAGCCGAAGAACAAGGTCAGTGCTTGCTGCCAGCTGGAGTCTTTCTCGCAGGCACTGATCGTTGCATTGTAGCTGATTGCCGTTGGTGTGATCGTCTCGGATGCCATGGAGTCGAGCAGGGTCATGGCCATTGCGGAGCTTCCTGCACGCTCACACGCATTGATGGCCGCATTGTAGCTGTAAACGTCCCGGTTCAGCTGAGCCTGCGCCATGCGAGTAAACAGAGCCAGTCCATGTTGCCAGTGCCCAGCCTTCGCGCATGCGGAGATGGCTGCGTTGTACGCCACCGTGTTGGGTGCGACATTGTCCGCCTCTCTTAGCAGAGCCAGCGCGACTTGCCACTCTGCGGCCTTCTCGCAAGCATTAATGACGGCGCCATAGCTGTACACATTGGGAGACAGCTGCGCACGCTTCAGGTCTTCGGAAAAGTGCAGGGCGAGCTGCCAGTGGCCAGGCCTGGCAAGGGCACTGATTGTGGCGCTGTAGCTGATGATGTTGGGCTGCAGGTTGACGGCTTTGATCTCATCGAACAGTGCCAATGCCCACGGCCACATCCCCGCCTTCTCAGCGGCAGTGATGGTGGTGTTGTAAATAATTACATTCGGAGTGATGGCAGCCCTGGGCATTTCTCGAAAGAGATGCACCGCCACTTGCCAGTTTTCAGCACGGCCGCAGGCCCCGATGGCAGCCTTGTAGCTAATGCTATTTTGGCTGATGCGGGTCGTCTGCATGTCCTGCAACATCCGTAATGTTGATTGCCACTGAGCGCCGACTTCACATGCACCCAGTGCGGCACCAAAGAGAACGACGTCTGGGCTGATGGTCTTCTCGGCCCTCTCGAAGAGCTCCAGAGGCAGTTGCCATTGCCCACCCTGCTACAGCGAAACAGATCCCCACACAGGATGCGCTGCACCATAAGTCTACGTAGCAGTACACACGAGGTTCCACTCGCTGCAACAAAAACAAGTGCCTCTGCTGAAGACTTCTCTGGTAAAGAAAGACAAGCCCATCGGAAGTAAACAGAACTTGAACACGTCAAGGGCATCGGAGTGCTCTCAGTTTAGGACCTGGAGACTGGAATCTCTTCAGCACCCTCAAAACCTCTGAATTTGCCCAGAGCCTTCTGGCAGGCGGAAATGGCGGCACTGTAAGTCACCACGTCGGGGGTGGCTTTCAGCTCTGGGAGGGAGAAGAAGAGCTCCATGCAAGCCTGCTCTCGAGAATTCGGCACCAAAGAACCGGATCCTACCCTCGTGCATGATGGGAACGCTCTGAGAGGAGGAGCATGAGCCCCCCGGACCTGCCAGTGTGTGGCTTTCCCAAACGCCGTCATGCTGGCATTGACATGAAAAACAGAAACCTCAGTCAGCCGAGCACAGGGCAATATCAACAGCCGAGACGAAAACAGCCACACTTCCCATGAAAAACGCTGACAACGCTCTTCGGTAAAATGCGCGAAGTCAACATGACAGCAAAAGAAGCAGCAGCCATGCTCGTTGTGGCAAGCAGCTCCCTGCATGGCAGCCAAGACCTCGAGAACCGCTCTGCCCTTGCCTTTCGACGCCAAGGCCTGGTTGAATCCCGTCCCATCCAATCGCAACTAAACAACCTTAAGGGATCGTAGGGGTTCCTTTAAGGGTTCCTTTCAGGGATCTATAGGTTCCTTTGAGCATAGGACTCTGACTGAAGCCCGAGGCCGAGGGCTTTTTCCTTGTGCTCCCGGCCTTCAGCTTTGCAATGCCGCCTCGTTGAGGTGCGAGATCCTGAGCTCAAGCCAAGGTACTAGTAAAGCAGTAGTATGACAATAGTAGCAGTATGACAGTAGTAGTAGTAGTAGTAGTAGTAGTAGTAGTAGTAGTAGTAGTAGTAGTAGTAGTAGTAGTAGTAGTAGTAGTAGTAGTAGTAGTATAACAGTATAACATTTTCCAATAACTATAGTGACTGTAGCTATTTACCACAACATATGGACCTGCATAGCAGAGGCTCTGCGTGGTGCGGACAAGCCTTGGACTTCCCAGAGGCACGCCGCAGACAAGCCCGCATGGTCCGGTTGGTGTTTCTGAATCTCGGCCTGGCAACGCAGCATTGCACTACTCCGCAACAGAAGAAACCACAGACAGCTTCAGGGAGCCTCAGCCGCCGTCGTCGTCGGAATCTTCGTCGCAGTTCATGATCAGAAACTGCCGGTCGAGCAGGACGGGTGAGAGCATTGACCTGGCTGTCTGCTGACATTTCCATCTTTCAACCCCGTGCTCATCCGCAAATCTACCTCCATCTAGCGGGGTGGGATGAAGGTGGGACAATGCCGGCAGGGTAACGTCCTTCAATCGATTTCCAGATGAAGCTTGAGTGCTTGGACTGCCTTGTCGCGAAACTCTGCATTTCGCGAGGGCCAGGTTTGGTGACATTTCAGAGTTGTTTGCATCGCTTGAAGGCTTGGTGCCCCCAGTGGTGTTGTGATTTCACATTGGACGCTTGGAACGAAACTCCGCACCGCCCGGCCCTAGTTCATGTTTTCGGACCGGGGACCTCAACAACCCTTGCAACTCCGGGCAAGCAAGCTCGCGTCAACAGGTCAGCCTTGCTTGCTTCCTACGCAAACCTTGCCAGGTCAATTCTTTGACCGTCTCTACCTTTCTTCACTTGCAGCATCTTGCAGCCACGGTGCACAACTAGTTTGTCCAGATGTTGGAAAATCTGGTCGTCCGTCATCATCATGCAGTGGACAGTGAAGATAGACAGAAATACACAGACTTTTAGGCTTGAGCCTTGATGTCGGCAAAGCAAGCAGCCCATGGTTTTCTCCGTTTCGTTAAGGCTCCTCTTAGGGTGCATCGGCCGCAGCCGTTCAGCTCAAGGCTTTCTGCTTCGGCTCGCACAACAGGTCGGGCGGAGGAACGTGGCAGGTGAGGGGTCCGCAAAAGCTGAATCTTCAATCCGAGTCCCCGAAGCCAAGGACCTCCAAGAGCTCTAAGGGTCCCGGCCGATGCGCTGAGCTCACGCAGACGGTCCTTCTGCCGAAAGCTTCGCGGTTCTGGGTTTGTGAATTCCGTTCTCAGGTGCTGGGGGCACCTTTTGCACCTCTTTGCCTTGGCCTCGGGTACCCAGCAGTCCGTTCTTCTCGGCAGCGGTCCTGCGACTTTTTGAGCTCCTCTTCCAGCGCGTTTTTCTCGTCCCTGGTCACCTGAACTAGCAGCCAGCACGAAGTGATGATAAGCCTCAGGCAAAATCGTCATGTGCCGCAAGAGCACTTCACCCGTACTGGCTGTCCAAAGCCGTAAAAGGCGGCAAGATTGCTCGGCTGACATGTTCTCAAAAGAGTCACGTGTCCCAGAACATAGATAGGCAAGGGTCCTTGAAACCACTGTCAGCAGCGACAAAGACAGCTGCCGCTGGGTCGACAGCATAGCATGTTTGATAGGGTTGGATCTCACCGTACCGTCAGAGGTTCAGGCCTTCAACTCCGACCGGTACATGTCCGTCTCCTCTCGCGGCTGCTAACCAAGTAAGAGTAAGTAGGCCCGGATGGGTTGGCTAGAGGGATGCGCTGCGCTGCAAGACTTCTGGCAAAGAACTCTGCACTCTTGCGCTGTCTGCCTTTGCGAACATGTCTCGCATGGACTGGGCTTCCAGGAGCTTCTCCTGGCAAGCGGGAACTTGTCAGCACCCGGCAAGTAAGCCATGCTTCAGATCTACAGTCGACGGCAAGTGAAACCTAGGACAGCCGCAGCACTTTGTCTCGAGGTGTCGGAAATACAGCTTCCGTATGCTCCGCCGGACAGAACCATGGGACCGTGGCAGCCTGAAGTTTTGCCCTGCACCTGTACTTCGGAGCCCTCAGATCCCTCCGCACACAGAAGTTGCAACCTCAGAAAACAGGGCAATTCTGGTTGTACTGTCATTGCAATCCAACTCATGATATCCAGCGTCACCGTTGGGAGCCGTTCTCCTTCCGAACATAACTGCTACCTTGTTAGTACACTGCAAGTGTACAGAGTAGTAGCATCGTTGTTGCTAGTACCTGTTCTGCTGAGTAAGATTACCATTGTTGGTATTCTTGTCCGACACACACACACACAGACAAACGCTCTAAAGCCCCCAAAGCCAACAGCCCTTTGCGTTTCCACTGCGGTTCCTCTGCACTGAGCGCTCGCTCATTGAGCTCCCTTGCCTGCCAGGGATGATTATTGTCATCCGTTCTTTCTTGGTTCTCATGTGTGGGTGTCGGAGATAGGTTTTCCTTAGGGCTATAAATCTTCGATTTAGGGTCCAGCTTCGATTTAGGGTCCAGGTCCCAGGTTGTGCAGCGTCTGGGTCAGCCTGGAACTGCGAGGTGCGGTGTTGCACATATTCTCTATGATGACGACTACTGTCGCTTCTTCTTCTTCTTCCCCTGCCGTCTTGCCAAGGTTCTGTTGCACTGCCTCACTGTGCCTACCACCTATACAAAGCTAGATTCACGCAACCTCTTTCTTCCCGATATTACAACAACTATTGACTGCTTCCTATTTCCAGGAGTTTCATGCAGATTTCGCAGCGTGGGTCTTCGTGTCAGTATCCGGACGCATTGCTTCATCATGTTGTCGTTTTATAGTGTGCGCCAATCGCAGACTACCTCGTCTAGTTTGACAGTATGTACGCACAGCGTATATACATTATCATATAACGGTTTTTGTATACACACATGTAAATGTATGTGTGTGCGTGCGTGTCTGTGTAAATGTATGTGTATATATGTACATACGGACAGATATTGAACAGGATATCTATGTCTCATCGCTCTTTATCTTGATTTGCTGTCTGACGGATTATATCTTGGCATTTCTGCGGCTTCGTCTTTGAACATGCAGTTTCTCACGTCGGTCGTCTATCCATCGTTCCATCCTGTCGTACTACTGTCATAAGGCCACAGTATCATTTTACTGTTGTGTTCTTGCCACGAAACCTTAAACTATCACACCAACCATAGAATCGCCCTGGATTTCATGTGACTGGCGCGAACTCCGACTCTCAGATCCTGACACCTTCGTGGCCGTGAAAATTAAGCGGCTTCCTGCTCGCCTACTGTGACTATAGTGTCAAAGTTCCTTTGCGATTCAAATTCAATTGATCTAACTGGGGTCTCGAATTTCGCGTTTTCGACAGCGTGGCACCCTCAGGGCTGCGACATGTCTTTCAATGCAAGTCTCTAAACGAAGTTAAACCTGTGAAGCCATAAGCTGCTCGTACAGTGCAATAGCCTTCAACTCGGCGGCACGCAGTGCCTGCAGGGCAAGGTCGCGTCAAGGCACCAAGATCCGTCATGTGCGATAAGTCCCATTCCTCCGAATTCCTATCCAACCGACGGAACAACAGATTCAGGAGTCAGGCACAAGCAAAACCCCCATCGTGGGGTAAGCTCCTCCCTAATGCTCATCCTATGGCGAGGTCAGAAGTGTCCGCTGGCAAACGGCATGATGCCAATCGCACAATCCTCATGCTTAAAAACCTGTCCCCTGTCATCTCGACTGTACCGGAGGAAGTTCTGCAGCACCACTCCATGTAGACCTCTTTGCCTGTCCTGTCTACAACAGCCACTCCTTCACGGCAGTCCAAAGGCACAACAGCTCATCCGAGAGAGCCATCAAACTTGTGGCTCGAAAACGGTGTGTGCTACATGTCCAATGCCACACTAATTCCAGCGCCCTTCCTCCGGATAGTGCAGTACCGCCAGTTTGCCACTTAGGTATCTACTTACCGCATGCATCAATGCATGAACACCTGCTCGCAGGCATGTAAGGTGACAATAAGGTGCGTCCATACATGCATACATACATACACACATGTAGACAAACGCAAAAATGCTTTCACGACCAAGTTCGTGTTCATCTTCGTGCCCAGGAGCCCTGTGTTGTAGGATCTCAGTAGCATGTCAGATTGGAGTGCAGAGGCCTCTTCGCTTCCGGCGCCCTGGCTCTCCTCTGCATGTGCCAGCCTCTGCTGAGCCTGGTCGAGCACTCATAAGAAGGACGAGAAGCTAAGAAGGCTGGTTGCAGGTTCTACCAGATTCCAGCGACGAGACGGGAACAGCGATGGTTGCTCTGTAGAGGGCCCCTGCGACATCTTATCATGTTGTTTCGCTGGAACCTGATGCAATCGGGGGGTGACGTGAGCCTCTCCCAGGGACACCGAAAGGTCCACACACTTCTGCTGCTCCTCCTGCAGTTGCACCTGCGCTGCCAGAGAAAATAAGCGTGGGGATGGAATCTCGTGATTTCGTCGTCTACTTTGCCGGGCATCGGCGACAGCTGTGCAGATTTTGCCGGACTTGCTGGCTGCTTTCTCTGCACTAATGTTCCCCTGTGTGTGTGTGTGTGTGTGTGTGATCCTTGAGGTAGCATCCGGCCAACGCAAAAACAGTTTCTGTAGACCGCGGCAACAGCTGGGCCACCCCCGGCAAAAAGTGCTCACGTTTTAGTTGTGTTGATGAACCGTAGTTGGCACAGCGAAAAGACACGCAAGTCCATTTTCTGCCTGCGCGATTAAAAGTTCGGGCGCTGGCACTAGCCTTTTGCAAGCTGGCCAAGTAATGTACACTGCGGGAAGCCGAGACCTTGAGATGACGATCGAGGATGTTGGTTACTGCCAATGATAATATCGGACACTACAACTGGTTCTCGAAATACTCATGGCCCTTCGTCATCTTCTGCATCCCAAGGATTTGGGCTGCTGACCACTTTGGATCATTGCCCACGGCCTCCCGCCCCCACCAGTAGGCCCAGAGTTACAGACTCGGCGAGGCACATATCCACACATAAAGGCACATATGCCCATGATTCTAGAGGGATAGTAGTATAGTTGCTTACATGCATCGGGAGAATCATAGATACACTCAAGAACGTACGTTAGCTGTGCAGGCATGCTGCTCATGAGCTGATTGTATAACCCCTGAACGAACAACTGTGCATTCCCTTTCTCTGGTGAGCGAAGCACGCTTCACTGTGGATTCCAGGCTCCTGCGACCGCAAATCGTGAAGCTGGCTTTTCGAATCAAGCCCACAAAAGTTTGAACGGGTCTGCATGTCTATCTGTTACAACTATACACATCTTCTCTGTGCGTGCTGAACTACCATACATACATACACACGCTTTTCATGTTAGCTTTTGCCGAAAGACTTCGTTCCCGGACTCCTCTAATGCACATTGCAGGCCGCGGAGGGCGCTGGTACACTGCTGGCGCCAAGTTGGGCGCCAAAACCTCAGCCAGGCGCACTGTGTGTGAGTTGAAGCTGAGATCTGTGAAGAACAGTTGTAGAGCCACTGCATCTGGTGGCCAGGATCTACGGAGATGATCTTGCCGCAGCATCGCAGCATGCAGGGGCAGTGATGAGCCGGGGCATTACCAAGTCGTCTCCTAACGGTGATGCTTGTGACGGCGAAGCTGCACTGTGCTGTCTCTAGTGAACTGATGTTGGGCCATGATCCTGGGAGGCACGCTTGACAGGATCCTTGCATCGCCGGGCTGATCCTGACAGTGAAGGCCACAGTCTGGTGGATTGGACCGGCAAGCATGGCCCTTGCATCAGCTGCAGTTATATGTTCCTCTGAATGGTGCGTTGCTGCAACCCAGCCCTCCGGTCGATCGGCGAAGTCTTGTCTCCTACAGCCTTGCAGAGGAAGACCAGGCCTCGTCGCTGCAGGCGCAGCGGCGGAGTTCTGCCAAGTGCAGAGCAGACTGTAGCTCGATGAGTCCATGCTTATCAGACTCTTCGGCCTGCGATGTCGTCCGCGCCCCTGCGAGTGGGAAACAGGTCAAGCATCACCCGAGCAAACTTGATAATGACAGTAACGCAAAAATGGATTCCAGTCCCCCTCACCCTTCTGCCTGCAGACATTGGCATAGGGCTGTTGTGGCGGGCTGAACAGGCTTGTGCCGGCAGCCTCAAACCGAGAAAAAGCAGACAAAGACCTAGAACTCAACGTAACTACGGGCAACTAGGTCCCAGGGTCGCAAGTCCGGACCAGGCGTGCTCTGAGGCAGTAGCTGTACCGGATGCTGGTAGTGCACGATCGGGGCTGGGCTACCTTCGGACAAGAGTCCAGGCAAACAGTCAAAAGGAAGACACCACCAGCAGCAGAAACAGCAGCAGCAAATGCACTCCATCAACATTGGTGTCCCCAACAGCACCTTTGCACCAGCATTGCTATCATAATCTGCTCGTTGTATTCGACAGTCTTTCAGGCACACCAGGCCTGATCGCGACGCTGTCATGGCGTCGTTATTCACGGCCTCCGATGCCAGAAGAGACAACACTTTCGCACTTGGAGTGCTGCAGCAGGTTTAAGTAGGAATGGCGAAACGCCCTTGCGAGCTTTGAAGGTTTCTGTGCCTGCACGGCTGTGACCGCCGCCACGGCCGCCTGCCAATCCGCCAGAGGCTGGAAGCGCTCCGAGGCAAGAAGCCAAGCGCAACATAGTGCATCACTGAGAAGGTCAAAGGCAATGAGTGCATTGCTTGCCGCCTGCATGCGGGCATCGACCGTCGGCCTGGCCATGGTCAAAGGGCAGCTGAGCTGCGGGTGACCGCATATGCCAGTCTGCAGGCCTCATGACGTTGCCCATGCTCTCCGGCCTTGCGAGAGGGTGATGTGCATGAAGACGCCCCAAGCATGACCGCAAGTTGTGTGGGCATTGCCGGCTCTGATCTGCTCAGTGCAGTGCAGCTCTCTCGGAGCCTCCTGCGGCGAACATGCTTTGGCGCTGGACTCTAGCTGCCAGCTTGTCTGGAAAGTAGTCAAACGTCTCCCTCAGCTCCTGTACGAAGTCGGCCCTCATGCTGGCAAGGCCGTCCTGCAATCTGCAAGCGTTAGAGTCGTGAGCCAGCCGTGAAAGACCATCGAAATGCGGGCGCTACAACATCTTTGCGTCGCCTTATCTCATGGCAGGAGCGTATGACAAGATCTCTACATCCCTTCTGGTCCGTGGGGCTCTCGTGAATGGAGCGACTCCCGCCTGCAATAACAGGAAGCATCGATGCTGCCTGCTTCCATCAGGTCCAATCTGACACTGTAGGTGCAACTGCTGCCAGGCTTCAAAAATCATGGCACTCGCGTGAACAGTTGCCACGGCAACAGCTTTCCGCGCTAAGGACCATCACAAGAACGTTGTGCAATCAAGCACGCATGAGATCACCTCTCTCTCACTCTCACGCATTCCGAATAAACCTAGTGCTCCAGCTTAGTCTCTACTGCTCCAGCCCAGGCCTACTGCATCAGGGACCGACAAAGGAGTGGTCCTGCCGCATGGACCGAGCTCTACAGCTGAATTTGTTGCAATGGTCCTCAATGGCCTTTGAGAATGTAGGCTATTCTGCACAGTTCAGCTAGGCGCCTGCAGCCAAATCACACTGCAACGATAACTGGCCCCTTTTTCGAGCCTTCCGCCACCGAACGCCAAGAGCTTGGTGGAGCGACCACTGCTCTTAAGATGGCCTTGCTCGTCCTACTTTAAATCTTGTCTTGACAAGGAGCTTAAAGAGACTGGGCTTGGGAGCCTGGTCTTCGGCGGTCCCTTTGTTCCAACGGCTGCTCAGCTCAGGCTGCAACATCGTGTGCGATTTCGTAGGGCTATGTCTGCAAAGCTCTCCGACATTCGATTTCTACCCTCAGCCGTGACCATAAAGCTGTCAGAAGGGCCGACCTCACTAGCGCCGAGGCTCTGCGATGGGCAGAAGAATCTCGTGCTAGGAGCAGCCCGATCATGCTGTCGTGGTAGTTTTTCTCTCGGCAACTCCGCTTGTGAGATGGAAGCTTGCAGCAAAATGACTCGTCTTGTAAATGGTCTGAGGCCACTAGGTTTGCCTGGTCGACGCTTAGTGGAAACACAGACTTCGCTGCCAAGCGGAAACCTTGTGAATGTTGCTCGTTTGCTTTGCTGCTGCTGCTCACGATGACGACGACGATGGTGAGGTGTTTCATGCTGATAAGAGGTGCCACCTGATGCTTGTTCTTGCGCCCGTTCTGTCTATCGTTCGTGTCAGTAGCACCGCTACTATGCCATCAGGCAGTAGCTAGAGCAGTTGGTCCATGCACCTGTTCCAAATCAAGAACATCGCCATACTAACTTTGCTCTACAATGATCCCAACTCAATCCTACAACCTCCGCTGTGAATTACTGTGGTATGCTAAGCAAACAGTCTGACGATCGTCGCCTTATGCGCACATCAGCAGAACGAACGCGACGCCACTTGCGTTCATTTGATTGTTCTAGTACCGCTGTCCTATCAGATCTCTCTGCTCTCTCTTCCCCTACTCACAGGAGTCACAGGACTGACTGCATGTTGTTGCCGGACACTGTCCGTCTGCAGAACCTGGTAAGGCTACGAAAGGGGCCAAGCCTACTGACTTAGTCCTCATCCCCTTACACCTGGGAGCATGGGCGAAGCTGTGCGAGAAGGTGAGCAATTGGCTGCTCTGTCGTGCGCTGAGCAGCTTCTGTGCTCCGGCAAAGGAAGACTAAGACACGACCAAAGACACGGACGTTCTTGGGCCCTGGTATTTCGTGCTGCTTCGTGGGTCGCTGGCTTGTGAGATAAGGCCAATGCTCCGGCTCCAGGGCCCGCAAGCATCGTGATTGTTTACCGGTGCCTCGCCTTTGGACACATACGTCGCAAGGCTCACTCCAGCGCACTTTGACAAACAAGTTTGTGCACCTGAGAATAGCACCACTTGTGCACTTTGCTAAAAAACAACAGCTCTTTCAAGGAACAGATGACCCTCACGTATTTGAAGATGCAGCTCACCCAAGCAGCTTTTGGCTTCTGGTGTGCGAGAGCCGAAATACGAGGGAATCAACTCAGAGTTATGCTGTCTGTCTGATTTTGACTTCATCAACACCCCCGCAGCGGCCTTCCAGTGAGATCTTTGGCACTCGCGCCCTGGGCAACAAGGGCTTGTAGCAGGAGCATGTGCTTGAAGACATGACGGTGCTTGTTGATCGCCGCTTCTCATTGTCTGTTATGCAACACTGAACCGCCACGAAACTCCACGATGATACCCGCGTCCTAAATCCCAGCACACTCCCGAGTTCTACAGCCAGTATTTCCCGGCACTGCTGCTTCACACGGCTCCACTGGACACGGCAACGGAACCAAATTTCCCAAAGGCTTGAAACAGGCTATGCTTCTCAATACGAAGGTCAATCAGTGCCACTCCAGGGATCAGGCCGCAGTAGTAGGTGCAGTGACAGCCTGGGTGGGTAAGCAGAGAAGATGTGTGACAGTCTCTGTGACCCTGCACGCCCGTGAAGCGATCCGTGCTTCTTGAACTTTCGCTTCTTCTTCGCACTTTGGGTTCTGGGACGCAGGTGAAGTTCTCATGCCCGGGCAGCGCACGGCTGCAGCAGTTCGCCCTGGAGACGGGCTGGCCGCAGTAGCCGCATCGCTCCATCCTTGCATGTGGGGACTCTCGGCAGTTGAGAACGGGATAGGATTACGAGGAGCAGACGCCCGGGTGAGATGACCGGGGGCTAGTAGCACACGGCTGTTTCTACTGTTTCCACAGAATACTGATGATACAGAGATCATGAGACCAGGATTTAATCATCGCCGTGCCGAGCAGTCCTGCTGTAAACCGCAACAGGGTGTCCGCCCTACCACGATGACAATGGATGGAAGCAACCGTAGCCGTACCAACAGTAGCGCTGACAGTGGCACCAGCAACACAGGGATGCCAACACACCAAGAGCAACTACAACTCTGAGACACAGCTATCAGTCATATCGACATGATGATGGTGGCGGTGACTGTGTGGCACCTGTCGCGTTTATGATCACCATGAGACATAGGGAACTCATAGCTCTTGGCTCCGGGCCCTGCTCCGCACTGAGCACACTTCGAAGCGAGACCGTTGCCTTAACGCATTGATACTCGAGGCTGGCTGGGGACTTGGCTTGAGGAGGGAGTGTGATCCGCACAATGAACAGCTTGGCCTCCTCCGTCAATAGCTCCAGTCTGACGAATTTTCGAATTGTTAGCATCAAGAAGATTGGAGCAATGATGAACATATTGCTGATAGGGGCAACGGTGCATGCATAGTTCATATGATACTGACACTACGAACAGCGCTAAACTTGAAATTCCAACATTGCTAGTACCACCAGTGCAAACGATAACCAATGCGCAAATGGTTGCCGGTTTTCGCATCTGCTTAAACTGGACCTGATTTGCTATGCACACGGCTACTATCTCAAAAGTGCCCACTGAGACCACTTCGAATACTTCTTTGATTCTCAGCCGCTGGCATTGGGAGCACTTGGCGCCAAAGCCTCCATAGCCGTTCCTTGGGGTTCCAAAGGCTGCAAGCTGTCAAAGCGACAGAACAGAACTGCTGAACAAAGTGCCTCATGCCCGTGTCTAAGTTTCGTGCGCGTTGCCGGTCATGGGGGGTGCCTCCCATGGCATGTACCGCCATGCAGCACAAACGCATTAGAACCGAGGGTTTGAGAGAGTTCTTTTTCAGGAGGCGAGATGTATGCCATACAACTGGAGAGCTTCCCCTTTGAAATCTGGTGACTCCATCGATCGCGTCTGGATAAAGCTTCATCGGATTCGGGAGACCGCAGCAGGGTCTATCGGAAAATCCTGGCTTCCATCCCGGAGGCCTCCCGCGGCTGAAGCACTTCCCGGTCCCGATTGCCATTGCGGCTCTTGTGCTGGAGGCCCTCGTCTGCCGCCCTCGCAGCACACGCAAATTTCACTGTCACTCTCCGCGGGGTGAACAGAGGAGGCCGCCTGTGCCACTGCAAAGCATCGTTGTCGCGGTTGCCAGTCAGCTTCAAGACTTTGGAGGCATCCTGCAGTCCACTGGCAGTCGGGGCAACTCGGCACCTGCCGGTCTTCTCGTCGGCGCCTCCTTGAGCTCGGAGAAGCAGCCAAGGGCTTTCCAGCACTTCGCTCCTCAGCTTCAGAACGCTTGCCCCAACCGCACCTCTGGGCCGGTGCCCTGATCTTGGCACCCAGCGCGACTTGATGATGTCCACCTAGGGTGCAGTATTGAAGATGTCGCAAAAGATGAAGAGAGGTCTGAGATGAGTCTGTTGATGCTACAGTATGGCTTAGACGGAGCTTTGTGCCCTCAACCCCCGAATCCTCCGGGATTCTGCTTCAGCCCCAAATCTGGCTGCGCCTCGAGGTCGAGATCGACGGCACGCTGTTGAGAGCAGGCCTTGAGTGCCTCTCAGAGACGGTGAAGGGATCCGAAAGATCGCCATCTCCCTACGGAAACTCACATCAGGACAAGTGGTTCCTCCCCGAAGCTCCTGAGCCTCAGCCTGTCTAAGTCTGTCCGGTGCTTGCCATGGGCTTTCCGGGCTCAGCCTCTGAGAAGAGGCCCGCAGCTGCTTTGAATCTCCCTGCCTCGCAGAACCGACAAGCCCAGAAGGAAGAGATCAGCGGCACAATGGGGAATCACACATCACTGTCGAACTGACTATGGCTGTCTCGACTGTGACCAGAGTTAGGGGGTCAATGGGAATACCACAACCACGGATGCTCCCAGCACGGGTACTACTATATGCAATTGCATTTGGCGGTCGCCTAGTCTCAGCGGCCGACGGCCGAAAGCAAACGCAGCAAGTTGCTACAGGCGCCAGCTCATTGAAGACCGAAAGTCGGGATTTAGGCTCCGCCTTCACCATCTGATTGCCGCGCTCGATGTACTCGTGCCTTGCAGCACAAAGAGGGCAACCCACTTTCCTACGGAGCTCCAACGGAACTACATCCCTAAAGATGGCAATTTTATGATCTGCTCTTAAGCTCCGTGCAGGCCGACACTGGCACTGAGCCGCTGACATGTCCACCGGCTCTCCATCGTTCGCGAAAGCAGGATCCTGGGTAGAAGGCTGCCAGAGGTGACCCAAACCCTTTCCCTTCTTGGAGCTTGGGTTCCTTTTGGCCCTTTTTCTCGGGCCGTCTTCTATTCAGGACTCGGCTGTGCATGGGAGCCCTCGAACTCAGGAAACAAGCCGTTGTGTAAGAGTGAGCTCGTAAAGGCACGGGGGTGGGATGCGAGAGACAGAGAGGCTGTGAGGCAGTCTGAAAAAGGAGGTGGGGAGTGCGAGCGGAATCTTATTCATGGCTTGCTTGCTGTTTAGGTGGCTCTTCCTTTCTGCTTGGCATTTATCTAAGGTCCGTCTCTCTCTCGCTCTCTCTCGAGCTGCTTCTCTCTCCAATCTCGCTTCCCTTCTTGCAGAAAGTGGGCTGCAGAACACGATGGCCCACGCCGCCAACAGTCCCAACATGCGAAGCTTCATGCTGCAATGCATGCGACGGTGGACAAGACTTACCGCGCCCGATAAACCAGTGGCAACAGATCCTGGACTTTTCCTCTGCGAGGCGGGTGGTACGAATCGATCTACACTTCCTGCTGATAAACACTACATGAGTCTGAGGACAGGCTACGGACACATCTGGTCTCTGACCAAAACATGTGCAAAGCACCGCTGTGGCCGCCTACATGGTGTACCAATGCGACAGGAGGACTCTACGGCGCAGCCGGTGGCTCGACAGTCCTTGGACCCGAGACCGCCTTTCTGGGCTAAGGGTCCCGATTTTCAGCGAAAGGCCCAAGCCCGGCCTCTGCGAAGTTCGACTTTTGCCACGCATGTTTCTTGCCCCGGGGTGTAGAGAAGGAACGCATCATAGAGACGGACAAAGTGCTTGCGAACCTCGCATGCGAAACCTTGAACAGCCTCCGGCGGGTGGAACGTGCTGCTATGTGTGCGGATGCTGTAGATACTAGACTAGATCGGAGTAGCAACAAACAAGAACTCCAGCAACATGCATCAACTCTCGTAACTTGAACTGGGGGTTCAAGCACCAGTTGAACGAAGTTAATTGAACCATGTGCTTAGCAGTGCCCCCTGATGTAATCCCAGCGGTAAATACGAGAATGGTAAGCACACCCGCGAAACCTTGCTGATGATTTTTAAGGCGCCACGAATACACTTTGCTCAAGTCCCTCCCTAAGTCGTGCAAGGGCCATCAAGTGGAGCGCTACATGTTTAAAGGCCCCTGGAAACAGATGTGCTATGCGATGTCTTCTCTAGATTTCGAAGAGCGTAGGCCGTATTCCCCTTGCTCATTCTTACTCGAACAGTCGACGCACTCCCGACTATCCGGGCCATCCATAAAACTCGCATCTTACACCTCCCTCCACCTGCAAGTTCTAACTGCCGAGGCTTGTGTGATCAAACATCTGTAGCACACGTTGATACCAAGACTGCAGCTCATGTGCTGGAAAATAAAATGCATCGTGAAGACAACGCGAGGCATATCGCTCAGGCCTTAGAAACTTCTGGACTTCGAATACTTACCAAGCAGCGATGGCTTTTCCCGCAGCTCATGTTGCTGCACATTCCACGCTTCATGATCTCGGAGGCACCACAAATAAGTACTTGGAACAAGGCTTGCCAGTTTGGACATATGAGTCGACACTTGCGTGAGCCAGCAAGATGGGGAGGTTTCTTGAGAAACAAGCACATGCCAGTCTCTTGGAGGAGTCAATCTTGGCAGATCTCTGCACTCTACGGGGCTCAGATATCGATATCTGATTCGAGGTCTTCGACTCGTCGTGGGGCCACCTAACCTCGCGTCTGCTGCTCGCGACTTCCAGTGCTTCGGACCAGTCCGGTGCGGCTCATTCTAAGCGCGTTAAAGAACCGGTACGACTGCGAGATGCCAAGCAGAGTCGATTGCTGTTGCCGCACTGAGCGACCATTTGCTATCGTACCAATGCGACCTGGAGTTCATTACAAAAGAGCATCCCGAACGGACACCGGTCATGGCGATAAATTATACACAATGACCACCCCTGAAGCTCTACAGTAAGACGCAAGCATGGATGCGGAAGCTTGGTATCAAGCGCAGTCGTGAGGCAGGAAACGCGCCAGTGTCTCAGCGCTTCATTTGACGATGAGAGGGCCAGTCTCTGCACGATCAAGAGTCTGTGCTTGCATGCCAGCAACGGAGCTGAAGTCAACATCGTTCGAGGAGCACACTGAGACAATCATGGAGGAAAAAACACCGCAACTTCAGATATCAGCAGGAAGTGAAGGGGCTGGAAGGCCGTGGTGAAGCCACCGTAAACTCTGACAGGTCATCTGAGGCAAAATAGACTGACTGGATCGTTTGAGCAGCTGTGGGGGGGGGGGGATTCAATGATCGATGAGCTTTTCTGTAATTCAGAACGATTCGTTTTTTTTTTCATGTTCGTGCTCGTAGGGCAGCGAGACGTTGCCCGTAATTGCTGGTACTCGAAAGCTAGTGCTGTTGCGATGGACGATGCTTGTCATCGCTATCACTAGAACCATGTTTGACACTCCAGATCTCGAGCGAGACAATGACTCATGATTGAATCAGGCTTATCATTTTTACGGTTCTGGTGGCAAGGACGATAGAGAGTCGCGTGCCGTACTTGACACTTCACACCTCACGGATGGTGCTGCAGTACTTGAGCCTATGATCTTTCTGGTTGACAGCATGTTGCTTTTCATGATATGACGACTTTTACCCGCCTCTAATTTTGATAAAGATAGTGGATACTTGTGTCACGGTAGCTTCGTGGCCTTGCTATCTACAGATGCACGACTGTCGTGCCCTTGGCACCTGGACAGCCCGGAGCTGGCTCAGCCATGAGGAAGCGCTGTCGGATGAGAGGCTTACTTGGAGGTTCAGGGGTAGTTATAAGTGGGGTTATAAGTCCCCTAATATGGGCTATAGGTATAGTTACCCTACTTATAACCCTACTTATAACTACCCATGAACCTCCAAGTACATTTCAGTAGGAGGGGGTCGGCCGTGGCCACCTGCCGGGCACGAGCTACGACGTGTCAACTCTGGCTCAGAAGCAGCATCTCTACCGTATACCAGTGCAAGTATTACAGTTCGTTGCGAGCTTTTCCATTCCTGAGCCTAAGTGGACCTGCACGACTTGAAGGGAGCTGTCGCGGTTCGGAACGCATGTGTGCGCACACGAGAGTCACCTTCGCGACACTAAAGACTTGTCCTCTGGAGCGGAAGCTGCGCTACAAGCAGCGTGGAAACAGATTCGTCTTCCTTGATTTCTAGCCGCAGGTTTTTGAATACCTTATTCGAGCATGGCAGCCGATTCCGCTTTGTGATGGCAGCCACCCTCACCTCGAGACATGTTGGGTGATGGGCACTGGGTGCGGGTGGCATGTAATCTGTTCCATCATTGCTGGCACAGCTGGGCTACCAGGTGGATGGGTATGAACTGTTTTGTCCGCACATCCGGTCCTTCGGAGGATGTGCTGCGAAAATCAGGAGTAAATGGACCGAGCCCCGACCTGGATCCGAAAATATCCGCAATCCGTGGTTGCTCTCACTGACGTTGACGTGTGAGACTTGATTCTCGTCAGAGGCCCGGCCCGAGATGCAGAAGTATCGCTGGATGGCGAAGACAGCACTCGTGCTGCTTCAGCCGACTCAGCAAAAAAGACTCTCAGACATGTCCTGCCTCTGAGACTTTAAGTTGGAACCCCCTCTGTCTGCTTGAAACTCAAACCCCCGATCCCGAAGCAGGTCTCCCAGGACATGCCTTAAAACTTGTCAGTTCATGGTTGTGTGGGCTCTGGATGGATATGCACGCCTTGACGACGGCGGCCGAAGGACCTCTTGCTCTTCATCTCCTAGGAAGTTCGGCAAAGCGAAGCCGGCCAAGGGAGCCGGCACGCAGAGGCCAGAGTCTGCGGCGCTGGTGAATTCGTTCGTCCTGTCGCGCCCACAAGTTGCCCGGCACAAAAGAGATTCTTAATATGTGTGTATGTACGGAGATATGTAGACTCTGGTGCGCACATAATTCGCCCACATTCTGCCAAGACAATACTGGTTGTGCTTCATTGTATCATTCTGCCAGCGGAGAGCCCCGAACATTGAAAGACCATACCCAGAAGCATGCCATTAAATAGGACCAGCAAGAACTATCACATGGGAACGGTCCTGAGTGCTTGGAGAAGCACAGGTTGCAACTAGTCAAGAGACTGGCAAGCTACCCACACGACAACGGGAGACTATCAAGAGACCAAACCAAGAGAGTACCAGGAGACCACCAGAAAACCAGGATGCTTCCCCCAGGTACTGGCACAATTAGAACCACGCCGCGAATGCTTCCCCCAAGTACTGGCGGTATTGAGAAGGATTCGAGAGCCTTGCTCCTGGTCGTGGCTTTGACGTCGCATTCCTAATTGCCCAGGGCCCCTATGGAAGCCCCGACCGTGTCTCTCTCCCAGAGCTTGCCGCTATCACTAGCACCACAAAAACGAGGCTTTACACAAAGAAGAACACAACCAAAGCTAAACACCTCTCCCCCAAGTACTGACGGCTCCAGGACAAGCGCGAAACTCTTTTTGTGGACGTAGTCAAGTACTGGCGCGTTTCCGGAAAATCAGTCTTATGCTTCAGCCCCATAACTTGCGGAATCCAAAAGATCCAAAAGAAATCCATTTCCCCAAGTAATGCTGCGCTTCAAGGTTTTCGAGAGCCCAAATTCTCCAAGTTTCGCAATTTACAGTGGATGTTGCACGCGGCCACTCTTCTGCGCTGTATATAACAAGACGTCAGCGAAAACCATGCACCCCTAAACAGCGGGTCCATTCTACATATATGCATCCAATCATCCATCCATGCATACACACGTACACGCACACTCAGTTGCTGCACGCATGGCCAAAATAAGCAAGAGTACAGTACATGGCTCTTGGTCCCAAGACCGCGGACGGGACTCTTCAATCCGGGTCTGGGGGCCCCGCTTTTGTTGCCGTCGCTTCCACAGTGGCGAGGATGAGATGTCGTTGATGCCGGGTCCTGCACGGCTTCAAAATGCTAACTGCCTTGTTAAATCAGTGTACAGTTCTCTACATGCAGACACGTTCTGCTCAGTCAGTTCAGTTGCAGTGTCCTCGTTTGCCTCCTGCCCCTGGCAGCTGCAAATATCCCTGGCAAGCGTGTTTGGTACTGCAACAGTTGGTTTATCAAGAACCCTGCTGGCCGGAGAAACTAGCGCACCTGCTTCAAGCCAAGGTTGGCGGCAGATGCTAGAGACACAAGCGAGCGGGAGACAGGCACAGAGATTGGAGGAAGCAAGAGACGGAGAGCACGAGAGAGAGAGAGAGAGAGAGAGAGAGAGAGAGAGAGACAGCGAGAGACCAAGCCGAAGCGAGCTAGGGGAGGGGAAGGGGCGGGCAAAACACAAAGCGCCAGCCTTCCCGCCAACCGGTGTGCCACCCGACAGGTCGCTGTGCGTCACAACGCTGAGCTGCCCGTCCTCCGCCCAACTCCGTTTAGAAAGAGTTGTAGCTGAGGGCCTAGGGAATTCCTGAGCTTGTGAGCTTCTGGGCAACCCCTAAAGTGGATATGGGAGTGCTTGCTGGCCAGTGTGGACAAGGTTCCCTATCCTGCAGATCCTCGCAAACCAAATCGACTGAACACCTCGTTTAACTGGACAGGCCAAGTGTGCTTTTTAAATCGTTTATACAAGCCTGTCATCCCAGTGCTAACCTCTGCATAATTAGTGTGTGGTAAGGCAACTCAGACATTTGTGGGTCATGCATGGCTAGAATTTGCGCAAGCTCTAGACGATCCATGATTTCAGCAGAAACGACAATGCAACGAGGCATGACGACGGCTTCAAGGCGCACTAACTGCCTTTTGACTGTGATGCATCGAAACATTCGGGATAAGACGTCGGCAAGGCCCAATGAAGTGCCGACAACTCTGCTCACGCGCCGGACTCACAGCTTTCTGATGACTAGCAATCGCAGCAGCAGAGGAGGACGAAGAACGGAGAGATGATGCAAACGGCTGGGCCAGGAGCAGCTGGTGGCGTGTCGTCCACTGCCCCATCATATGTTCTGAACCATGCTGCATGTCTTGTCGGATCTAGAAAGCTCAAGCTGATCCCAGCTGGTGCCAAAGTTGAGCTCGCCTCCGTGGCCATCGTCGTCGCTTCGGAGGCCTCGTAGACCCCGGACCGTCCATTGCCCTTGATGACGGAGAGCAAGGTCTGACGACGGCGACAGATGTCCACTACTTAGCCCTGAGCACTGAGCTCCATGACCATTTGCAACGAACCAGAGCGTGGAAGGCACAGTATGACACCCTTCAAAACAGTTATACTAGACGTCACTCGACTGCAAACATGGTCCTAATGCTTCATCGGCTCGGGACATGCCTGCGGCTTCGCATCACCCGCCGGAAAGCCGCCTCAGGCAAGGCCGTAGAAACATAACAATGTTGTACCAAGTACGAAATATATCGGTCGGTATGTTTGCACATGTGTACATAGAAAACTCTGCAAAGACTCAGTGCTCATCGTGCTTTTGTCATGCAGCCGTAGCAGAGCACATCGGTTTAACTTCTTCCACTCGAATAACAGAAACACTGAACTTTCACACGATAGTTCACGTATCATGCGACTGCCAAACCTACGCGTGCCTGTCATATGTAGATGTGTCAGTACGAATTACATGTATAGATCCAGTCTTTGAACATCGGTTTGGATCCTGGCTCGCTATGCCGGTTTAACGACTGAGCGGATGATACACCGAGGCAGAAGGGAGCAATGCAAAATTCTCGGAACTCGCCCAATATGAAGAATCTTTTTCTGTTGCGTTCCGTGACACTCAGTCCGCAAGCGCGATCCCAATCTCGGAACAAGAACCCCTTAAGCCAACAATCATCGCAAAGAGTCAGCGGACATCCTTTGTAAGGGGATAGATGTATCGCACAATTGGGTTGGATATGCCGACATGACGTTCAACTGCGATGCATATCCACTTGTACAACTTACAATAAGATGTCTAAGCTCTGTTTGACACTCAACCTGTCGGTGTGTTGCATCGGTATCGATCGAATTCTTGAAGCCTATTTGCGCACAAAGGAAGTACAAACGAGCATAGGCATCTTGAATATTGAGCTCGTACGCATCAAGATGGCACTGACATGCTCACCCTCCACCTCGACGCACATACACGGAAACGCACACACACACACACCCACACGCATCTGCACGTCTGTGAACACATACAGGCACACAGGGCGCATGCACACATACTCCTCACCCGATCTCACCCGATGTGATCTCTCTCTCTCTCTCTCTCTCTGTCTCTTTCTCTCTCTCTCTCTCTTCCGGGTGTGGGGGTCGCAGCAGCGTTCAGGCCGCTTCACCCGTGCGCGAACGCACTCCCGCTATTCGCGGAGTGTCCTTTGCTCCCCCCAGGGGTTCGCCCCAGGTCGGCTCGGCTGTATAGGTGGACAGGTTTTGCCGAAGCATGAAAAGGGAAGGCCTGTTGGTGTTTCGCGTGCATACCCCACGTCACATGCGACCGAACAACAGCATCCTAGCATGACATGAAAGCCCCATCCCCCCCCACCCACAGGCCTTCTGGGGGTCGAAGGAAAAGCTTGCATTTGTTGTCCCGCTGTGTATAAGCAAGGACCACCATGGGACTACGAGGTTTGATTGAAATGAATTACGGCCTTCTGTTCCCCCCGAATTCATTCAAGGCGGCGTGTTGAAAAGACACTAGGATTGCAGGCCAGGTCGGGCCTGAGTTGAACGGGTTTACCTGAGAAGGATTGGGAGACAGTGTCCCCCAACTCCTGCTTAAAGAGTTCACACCGGGCATGGCAGGAAAGTCGACTGGAACTATCGAAAGGTACATGCAAGTTGGGTCCCCCCCCACTTGGCTTTCGCAGGCAGAAGGCGGGACAAGGCACTTGGTTTGGCTTCAGAGCTCAACACCGAACCTCAAGACGGAAAATTCCCCCTTGAAGCACTGGGTGCAGCAAAGGTTTTCCTCAGCGCTCACTTCCGTTCAGTACGTCACCTAGTCGAGCTCTCTGTCCCCCTTCGCGAGGCCATGTAGTTCTGGACTTGGCGCACTTGCCAGTCGAGGTTAGGAGAAAGACGTACTGGTGCTCGTCCCCCCTTTCCTGGCGGTCACAGCGCGGTGGCTCCCCCTCAGGCTCACGGGGTCTTTCCACGGCTGTGTTCAGTCTGGCGCTCTTTGTTTGTGGTTCCCCCACCGGCTCACTGGGTCGTGCTGCGTGTCCTCCTGTGGCTGTGCATCTGTCTGGCGGCCGTTCCTCCGGCCCCCACGGCCACTGGCTCATCCTCCCCCACAAAGTGCAAGGGTCACTAGGTTGTCGGCCTTGCCACTTTCACGATCTTGACGTTGAAACTCTCCCCCGTCCAGTGTGCTGGTACACAGTGCGAAGCTTGTGCTCCCCCGAGTCAACGAGGATGGTCTCGAGCACCGTCCCCTTTTCTTCGAGGAAGCGGAAGTTGAGGCCCTTGCAATCTGGAGGTCGCGTTCTGGGCCGTAGCACTGCAAACTTCACGGACACGAATATTGCGTCCCCCCCAACACTCTAGTTTTACTTGATGAGAGGGCTCGGGCGATCCGGTCTCAGAGGCACAGTCAGAGACCTTCACCCCCGAAACCCCCTCTCGAGCAGACGTCCAGCGGGATGGTCTTGGAGACGCTGTAGGCACCTTGAGCCAAAATGTCTCTCTGTCTCGCTCTCGCTCTCTCTCTCTCTCTCTCTCTCTCTCTCTCTTTCTTTCGCCAGGGTTATGGTGCAGGGGGTTACCCCCTACACCGCGCGCGAGTGCGCCCCCGACTGTTGTGGGGCCAGTTGATTAGATGCAAGACCCACGACTCGGGACGTGTGGCAAATCACGAGCATCCGTCGGCAACTGGAATCGGGAAAGTTGCAAAGGGTCGGAAGAGCATACAAAAAGGAGATGCCGCATGGAGAAGACAAGTATTCCAGTAAGGGGTTCTTCCCCATTGCCTGTGGGTTCGTTGGTTCTGCATGAGGCCAACACGAAAAGATCCTAACAAACGATCCTGAGAACCAGGTCATTGTCGGTTGGCTCATGCTAACCGGACGTGGCAAAGTGATATTTCTGCTCTCTCTTAGTCTGGCTTCACAAGGGCAGCAACACTCAGCAATACGAGGAACAGACCAACCATAGGGAATCACAGGACGCCAGGCAGTTGGGAGAGAGCTGTTTCAAGTCTGAGGCCATACTGTTACTTCCCAGAAAAGCGTCAGAAATGCGTGAGAGCCGCTAATTAGCTTACAAAGTCGGACCCCGTTGGTGCGGGGGAGGGTATCTTCGAGGAAACTGGAGGCTCCGGCGGCCCGTCAAAAGTGTATTTCACAGAACATTGAGGCAAGGGGCAAGCACTGCAAGCCCACCCCTGGTAGCAAAGGTTTTGGCTCAAGCCGTGAGTGGTTCAAGCCTGTGGGGGGCCCTCCGTGAGCCCTTTCTCCTGACTTCTCCTGAGCGCCCCACAGGACAACCTTTTTGACCTCTTCTCTCCGCCTGATTTCTTTCACTCTTCTGACGCATTGTGGGAGGTTGTGAACAAGATCTGTGCGCTGTTCACCTTCCAGGCCGTCTCCCGCGAGATCGGTGTCTTCGGACCCGCACGGTGACCGCTGCTCCCTACAGCCTCTTCCTTCTGCCGACTATCAAAACTTCCTGAAGGCCTTCGGCGAACCTACTCAGCGGGTACCTCACTGACACGATTCTCCGCAAGAGCTTCTTCGAACGGGGACATCCCCAACGTCGTGATCGTGATATTGGCAGAAACACCGAGGATAAATTCTTTGCCTATGATGGGTTCTTCCGGTAAAAGCAGTCGGGGGACAGCGGGGGGCCAACCCCCTCCGACGGCCATCGTTTGCCTCCGCTGCCGTGATGGTCCTTCACACCACGGAGGGCACCGCCGAGATGCTGCTAACTGCATCTTGGCAGGGTGTGAAAGTACCGAACCCAGGCAGGTACAAGCCTACCTCCGCCAGCGCCAAATTGACAAAGCTGTTCAGGAAGCTCTCGCAGCTCAGGGGGACGCCCCCGCTTCCACTACTACTCCGACGAGCTCTACGCACGCTGCGCCAGGAACCTCTGAACTGGGGGGCAACCCCGACACTGGTAACCTGTTGTGCCGAAGATGCCTGCTTGGGACGAAGTGTCATGCTAAGCATGTCCCCGAGGCGGACAACTGCATATATTTTGGTACCACCGTCAAGAGCGCAGCCCATGCCAGGCAATGCTTGTTGGAGAAAGAGATAGAGCTAGCCCGTGACGAAGCACTTCGAGCCAAAGCTGCTTCCAGTTCCTCGGCACCTCCACCCCCCCCCCCCCACTCCAAGGACTCCTCCAAGGATCGCAGAACGATGGAAGGATCGTGGGTCCAAGCGCGAAGCCTCTCCGCTGAAAGACAAGCCGGAGAATGCCAAAGGTCCGAAAAGCAAGAAGCGCAAGAAGAGGAACGGCTCTTCCTCACCGGGGCGACCTCGCGCGCTGCCTGGCACTACTATCTGCAGTGACTTGGCTGCAGATGACCCCTTGCTGGCATCCCTCCGTGATATCCTCGGACCTGACGCAGATGCAATAACTCGAGAGCCCCAGGAGGTCCAGTCATCGTCGTCGAGAACCCCAGTCCGTGCATTGGCAAGCCCGCCAGCGGCGCTTGTGCCACCAACGCCACCACAGCGACTTTCTGACAGAGCCAGAAGCACAGTCATGGACCCCACGGCACTGCCCAGGACGGGGGAAGCCCCGATGATGCCAGTCAGTACTACTACCACAGCGACATCGCCTTCGACCTCTTCGGGCACATCAGCCTTCCGGGGAATTACCCCGCAAAAAGCCGGTGCCGCACTTGTCTCAGCGCCGCAACGTCCCCAGCGCCTCCAGAACACTCACTACAGCGACTACCCAGGTACGCAACGTGGAGGTGCTACTCCCCACCACTACGACTCCCAAGCAGAACCACGCCGAGCCGAGATGGTGGGGACTGACCCCGATGCGAGCACTGCCACAGGTACAGCTACAGGTGCGCAACCAGGCCCAGAAGACCTCGCCGTGAACGAGACGGACGGCCTCGCCACCGACCACGTGCCCTCCTACATGTCTGTTGCGCCCCAGTACGGCGACCGGCCGCAGCAATCGGGAAACTGTGAGAAGCCTCCACTACAACGTGGACTACACCCCGTCATTGACGTCTTCGAAGACGACTACGCGCCAAAATCAGAGCAAGCAGCTCAAGCAGATGATCCGCTACCTGGCCGAGACGATGCAGAGGGGGGAACCCCGGCCATGCACGTGATCAGCAACCATGCCTCCAGTGCACCGGATTCGCCTACGGGACAACGGCCGTCGCTTACCCTTCCCCAGCGCCGACGGCTTCAACAACTGTTGGAACAGCGAGATGACCAGGGGAACGTTCCCTATGACCTGGACAGTTACCCCACGGATGAGGCCAAGTGGAAGGCCTACAGAGCTGCGACGAAAACCGACTACCGAGACCTGCGCCGCCAACAGCGGCGACGACAAGAGTGGCATCCAGATAAAGGCACGAAGAGCGAGTGGAAGTACTGGGGCAAGACGAAAGGCAACAAGTGAGCGCTATTACTGCGGGGAAAATCCCCAGCTCTAGTTGAAAGACCTCATTCCACAGGCAGTCTTCAGAGAAGTTCGCTGTGCTTGCTAGGCTGCGAACCTGTCTCTCTCTCTCTCTCTGTCTCTCTCTCTCTCTCTCTCTCTTCTTCCGCCGGGCATGAGGGGTTGGTTAGACCCCCCGGCCACTAGGGCCCCCCCATATTTTGTGGGGACTTTGGAGGAGTGTGAAAGTGGTTGTGTTTTCGGTCCCCCCGGTGGATCATACGAACAGCTCTCTCTCTCTCTCTCTCTCTTCTTCCGCCGGGCATGAGGGGTTGGTTAGACCCCTCGGCCACTAGGGCCCCCCCCATATTTTGTGGGGACTTTGGAGGAGTGTGAAAGTGGTTGTGTTTTCGGTCCCCCCGGTGGATCATACGAACAGCTCTCTCTCTCTCTCTCTCTCTCTCTCTCTCTCTCTCTCTCTCTTCTTCAGCACAGCCAGGGGAGTCTGCGTGCGCCGACCCCCCGCGCGATTTCGCGCACTGGGGAATTAACGTGCTGAGAAGCGCTGTCGGACACAAGAGACCGGGCCTGTACTGCCAACCACAACACCCGAACACTAGTACCCCCAACCCGCCTTGAAGACCAGGGCTCAGACACACTAACGGCAGGGGCCTGCGGCCTGGGTCTCTAACTTTTAAGCCTGAGGGCCTGACCAAATCGGTCTCCCCCACAAAAAATCCGACCCCACTATCGGCGTTCCGACGCGAGTGAGGCTCCAGGTTCGAGGCAAAAACACGCAAATGCCCCCCCCACACTGTTGGTGAGAGAGACGCTCTCCGACTCCAGGTTCCTAACTCCAGTGTCTCACCAGAATTCATTAATTATAGCCTCTCCATCCTCTCCCCCGCATTCAGTCTCAAAGTAGCGGGAGCTTGGCCCCCACTTCAGTTTTTTTGTGGCTTTCGAGGTGCGGACGCTCAAAAAGCAAGGCTCAACTGAAGGTTTAGGATTGGGCCCACCAAGTAGGTGGTGTTGTGAAGGACGTCTAACTGAGTCTAACTTCAATGTGGGATGACCCCACCGCTCACATGCAACTCATAGTGTGGCCGCTCAATACCACCATCACCCCCCGCCGGGTACTTGGCCTCCCCACGATGATCTGGCGCTTAATCGCCCCCCGCACGTAGCCGTCTGCACAGGTGTGGTTGCCATTCTCGGCGGGCTGCAGGTAGTATCACGATCTCTCCCTCCGGGTTCTTGGTCTCCCACGGCGGGCTTGCGGAGGATCGCGTAGTAGAGGCCCTCGACCTGTAGAGCCGCCGAGCCCGTAGACGGCGAGGTTTGTCAAAGTCCCCGAGGGTCTGCGCACGGACACCGTGCAGGAGCACACTGGTAGATGTCCCCCCAGGCAACGCTCACGGCGGACTCGCGTAGTGCTGCGAACTCCCCCTCGTGCTCGAATGGACCCTCTGACTAAGGCCCACACTCTCTCACAGCCTCTCTTTGGTTTGAGGCCCTCGTCTTTCTTGTGGCTCGGCCTTGAACCGCTCACGGCTTGAGCCAAAATGGCTATACTCTCTCTCTCTCTCTCTGTAGAGAACATACATACGTACATACAAAACAACAAGCATGCATACGTGCGTGCATACATAACATACATCTTTCCTTTCTCAACAAAACTACACACACAGACACGCGCACACACACACACACACCAACAATATATAACATACATACCTACCTCATACCTGCACACAATGTGGGTATGTATACGTATATGTATATGCGTATGTGTGGTTTCAAGAAAATAATGCAATGTGGTGTCATGTGTGGATGTACATGTGTACACACACATGTGTATATGTATGTATAATTATATATGTAGGTATGTATCTATGTTTGTATGTATACGTAAAGACACACATGTGTATAGAAGGATGCACAAGCATATATGCATCTGTACATACACATGCATCTTCATATCCGTATACATGCTTGTACATCGACAGACATGTCCACATCTGACATACCTTCAAGTGCCTGATGCACAGGAGGGTCGTCAAATCAGCCCCCCCCTCTGGCCTGCCGTGGGAAGCTGTAGGCGACTGAATGCCGGAGAGTAAGCAGGCGCAGGCACGTGCACCTTTTGGCTTATTTGAACTTCTGGCGCAGGATTCTGCAACTCGGGATATCGGGGATGCCACATCACATACCGCTTGTATGCAATGCAGATCTCTCTGTCTGTCTCTACAAAACATATGTTCAAGCAACAATGCATGAATAAAGACAAGTCTTATGTAGCGACAGATAATGACACATACGCACATCGATACATCGCCAAATGTTTCGAAATCTCTCTCTCTATCCGAAAATGCATGTACGTAGGATATCAGTAGGCTCCACGCGCACATGAGCTGAGATAGACGGATAACGACACGATAAAGTAAGAAGCGAGGTAGCAGAGTGTAATGCTATTTATCCTAGGTATAGCAAGGTAAGCAAAAGCTACAACACAGCACAACAAAATATCACGTGGTGACCTCTCAATGCAACTCCAGCGTGCAAGCGCAAGCAAGATGTAGCTCAAGTTGTGCAGCTCACGATTGAGACACAAGACGAACTAGCAGACTGGCAACATGTTCTTGTCGAAATCTAACAGGCGTGTCCAACACGTGATGTCATGCAGGAGCCATGATTGTAATTTGGATGATGAGCTGTCCTGATGAAGACAGCTCGCGTGCCCCGACCTCTGCTTCTCTCCCAGGTGAAGGTGGCATGCCCGGCACGCCAAGGGTCTGCCATCAAAGCATGTCACAGGGCACGCAGGGGACTCGAGAGTCTGCGACAGGACTTACTCCAGCCCTCGTGGCCCCAGGCGGGAAGCTAGCTTTCCATACTCTAGCTTACCATACTTATAACCCATATTAGGGGACTGATAACCCTACTTATAACCACCCATGAACCTCCAATTAGACCTTCAAAGTTCTGCTCGACCGATGGCTGAACTCCAGCCTTGGCCCAGTGTGGCTTCACCTTGGGCATTCTGTGCAGAGAGTCGTTCTCCTGACGTGGCAGAGGCTTCGGCTCCTGGTGGGAGCTGTACTAGGGTGCCATACCAGGGTACTATACTTGGGTACTATACCAGGGTACTATACTAGGGTGCTACACTATGGTGCTACACTAGGGTACTTTGCTAGGGTTTCGGGGAACAAGGGTCGGCAGCACCTCCAGTTCACAAAATCTCTGTCCGTCACGTCCTGGCCTCCAGGCCAAAAACCCAGAGGGCAGGGTCTGGTCCTTGAGTGCCTGAGGAAACGTGAACTTCCTGTTGACTCTGCCCTCTAGTTGGGCAAAGAGATTACCACTAGAGAAGCTGCAAGCTGCTTCTCTTTTCTAACGTGCATCGCTGCCCTCAAAGGCATTAGAGCTACTTGGCTCATGCTCGCACCTTCTCTTGCGGCCGAGGATCCATATGAAGAACTGCCAGTCGGCAGTGGGCTGCCACCCAATCCCTTTTGCCTGCGACGCTCTCCTGCACAGAGTGCTGCGATTCTGGCGCTCCCCAAAAAACTTTACGAGGTTGTTTGTAAGTTGCATTCGAACAATCACAGGGAACAAGGATGAAGATACGATGGCGATTGGATGAGCAGGACCACTATCGGTCGTGAGAGGCTCTCCGCCTGAATGGTGTGGTGAATGAAGGATTCATGGAAGTGGTCGGACTTCGAAGATTTGCTCTGACAAGCCCCCTGGCAGAAACCGCGCTCGTCAGATCTTTTCACGCACCAACGACACACACACACACACACACACACACGCACGCACACACACACAAACACACGGCTTTGACCCTGCACAGGCAAAGACTCTGCTTGGCCTGAGAATGCCTTCAGCAAGTACTTCACGCGGTCTTCGCCTAAGAAGCTTCTTCGGCCTTTTTGCTGCTCTCGGCTAACTCAGCTAACTAGCCGTAGCCCTAGCTCTGCGAAGCTATTTGTGGGGCAGCTTCGGCAGGCAAGTATGTCAACATGCGAAATTCTGCCAGGAGCGGTGATCCATACCGAGGCCACTGCCAAGCTTGGTCTTGGCACTGAACTTCCTGGCGGGAGGCTGAGGGCTCTCTTCGTATAGTCGAGGGTTTGAACTCTTCCACGGGTTCCCAGCTCTTGAGTTGAGCTATCGCCAGGAAAATACCCGAGGCTTTAGGCCACATCTGTAAACCCGCCCGGTTCGGTTTGGAACCTGGCATGTCGCTCTCCAGCCCCTTCTCTTGCATCGTGAGGAGCTCATGTGTTGAAACCAAAAAGAACTCAAGTTGAGGGATAGCAGACCAACGGGTGATAAGCAGCATGTCTGTAATACAGAAGGTTTCGCTTGAAGGACACTGCCCTCAGAGTTCCAAGATGCAGAAGCGGACTTCGAATGAAACGGAACCCTTTCTTGGATTGTTGCTAGCCGCAGAGCACACGAAACCACTTCATCCTTAGCGCTGGTATGATAATGCATTACAGCAAATCAACATTTTCGCGTCGTCGACAGGAGCGCAACAGCTTGCCAACTTAGGGGCGAGCTTCCTCTGCAACCCATGTATTGCATATTCCGTGTCTCGGGTGCCCACTTCTAGCTTCGAGGCCCGATTGCACGGGGCAAAACATCTCTGCGTATTGCATTGCTTGAGACCATCTGCATTCTTCAGTGCTATTCCTGTTGGCGAAATTCGCATTTGCCAGCATCTGCCCCTGCAAGCTTGACAATTTACCTCTCCTGATGAATGACTCAGAGGGCGTCCATTTGGGTTCATCCTACTCCGGAGACGTTTTTTTCAGTTTTTCGTTGCACGGACGTCCTCGAAGCATGGTCTTTCTCTCATCCACATGCTCAAGTCGTCGGTTATGACAGCCCCTAGGCAACTTGCAGCATCTCGAAGTTTTTGCTCCGGGGAAACGGCTCCAGAAAAAAGCAGAGACTTCGACGTGAAACAACTGCCGGCACACTGAAACGGCGGATGCTCCTTTGTTTCCTGAATACCGAACCCACACCCGGTCCAAAACCTAACTCGCTCATCAGCTGCAGTCCTCAAGCTGGATGTAATCCGCTTGATCATGCTCTCCTTGCTGCGGCGGGCCGAGCAGAAGTCGATGTTGATGCTGTCAACCTTCCAACCTGTCCCAGGGTGCAGTGGGCGATTATACAACAAGCAGATTTCGAGTGGACACTTCGGTGTCTTTGCTGCAGAACATTGCAGAACTGTACATCTTTCAGGTTCTGTTCGAACAAGAGGTGCACCTGGCAGCCCTCTCGCGGGCCCTTTTGGGTCGACTCCCTCAGCCCCAAACATCCTGGCCACAGCCTCATAGAAGTCACAGTGGAATCCACGGCCCCGCCTTGTGCCTTTGAGAGCGTACGAAGCACAACACGCTCCACGTGTTTGTCGTCGCTGCGTTCTGAACTGATGATGGACCATGCGTCTCCTAGCAGCGCTGCGCTGAGACAAGCACCACAATTTCTCCTTCTAGCAGCCCCGTGCTGTGTATTCTTCTATGCCTACTCGAGATTGATCGAGATTTCGGGGCCATAAGCTATAGGCATCTACCTGCTTGCTATTCTCGGCTAACAGTTCGTCAACTTCCACTCAATTCCCCGGAAACCTCCTGCTTGTGGCGAATCGGCGAATTACACGTCTGTAGCAATTCCATCCGAACACCGTGCGCCCAAGAACATCCCGACACACTCGCACGGATTATGGGGATTATGAGCTCGGAGACCTCGTGACGACATAGACTTAGGACGCAAGCTGGCAACATGGACCCTTACAACATCCTCTTCCCAGCGACGAAAGGGGAAGCAAGAAGAAAGGACACTTTTCGGGAGGCCCAGGACCACATGACTTTGCTAGTGTTTCGGTGATTCTATTCATGTGCTTTGTTCTACCTCGTAGCAACAGTCAGATGATTAGAACCATGGTGACCAGTCTCATGCTGCTCACCCTGGGCCGCTAGTATACTCCAGTAAAACTAAACCCTAAAGCTGCACTATAAGTAAACCCTAAACCATAAAAGTATACTACTAGCAAAACCTTAACCCTAAAGCTACTCAGACTTCTTCAAACCCTAAACCCTTAACCCTAAACCTACTCAGAGACTTCTTCAACAAAGCGGAGTCCTGGCCCTGGAGGTCGCACCCTGCTGGCCATGAGGACCCCTCCGGGCCTTGGTGGTTCCCCAGCCGCTTCTGTGGATGTTTCGGACTTGTCCCCGATACAGGGAACAGGGTTTGGGGGACATCAACATCATAATTCACCAAGGCAGACAAGCTCAAACTCTTGACGCTTAGTAGCCTCTACCCATCACATATGTAGATTAGGTTCCCCATCGCTGGATGCTGAGCATCGCCTTGCTTGCAAAACTGTGCCCGGGTACAATCTTGACCTGTAGGGCCGGCTTGGGCCGGTCTTCCTGGCCCTATGCTCTGCGGAACTGTTCGGTTGCATGGCAGTACAACAAAGGGCTTGTCAGCCAGAAAGAATCGGCATATGTTGAGGAACAAGTCACACCGCAGCCACAAGCCCTAAGTAATGCACACGCACTTTTTCCCCGAATCCGACGAGGTCCGAGAAGTGGCAGATCAGATCAAAACTCCGAGGGACCCGAGGCAGGCATAGCTCAGACAGGTCCGAAGACCGGTCGGAAATACGCCACCCCTCCTCGGCTTGATCAAACGAGGGGTTTCACAACCCCCGTCTCCGATCCGAGAGAAAACAGCCGACCCGGGAGCCCGAGAGTGAAAAGGTCCCGCCGAAACGTACAGTCACAAAGTGCCGGTAATCGGCACCTGAGGCAACCGTACCTGGCACTCGTGTCCTGTTTCAAATCAGGGCTAAAAGAGGGAGCCCGGGAACTATTGATCTGATTTAAAAGAAAGGAGCTTATCCAGGATCATCCAGCTCGGAGTCCAGGACAAGGAGACGTCCCGCCTCTTTTCGGGGGAGAATCCTTCGAAATCAAAGTGTGTGAGCTGATCTGCCCACGTGTTTGAGCTCCGCTTGACATGGGTGACCTGAGCAAAGACACCCTTGTGGAACTCCTGTGCTGAGAGCTCCATCAAAAGCGCCGAGCAAGGCCACTTCTTCGAAGATCTCTTGCTGGCAGAAAAGGCGTTGCCCTCATTATCCGTAGTGAGAGGGAGGTGCGCATCGACCATGCTGGGTCCCAGGGACTCCGCAGCCAGAAGGAAAAGAATGAGGGTACCCAGGAGTTCAAGGGCCCCAATCCGGCGCTTAGCAGAAGTGTGCGCCAGGAGGGGCTGCGCCCATGGCGTGGCAAGGACGTCCATGGAGAACCACAAGACCTCCGCCTTAGCCGGGTTCAGAGAAGGCGAGAACCAGCCACCAATGGCGACCCGGCCATCGTCCTCGCCGGCATCACTACTCCCATAGCATGGAGTGTTGCGCTGTAGACGGAGAGGAACGCAGGGACCAGCATCCAGGATTGAGAGGAGCAGAGTAGCCAGGAAACGTACAAGGTCTCCCGGCTTGCACTTGCGTTCCAGTTTTTGTTCCCATGCATAGAGCGGCTGGAGGTGAGAGCTCACCTGCGGGTAGGCCTTAGCCACCCACTGCAATTTGCCCAGTAAGGAGGTGATTTCCTTCCTGGTGTGCAGTTCCCCTGATTCCAACCTCGCCAGGGCCGGGCGGAGGACGGTCATTTTCTCCTCCGGGAGCCACACGGAGCCTTCGGAGATGTCAACCATGTAGCCCAACCAACGGTTGACCTTGCCGAGGGCATTCTTGTGCCAAGAGATAGGACAGCCCAGCAGCGTGAGGAAGAGCATGAGGGTGGCTGCCCCCAGTTCGCCAAGGCTCTCCTTCATAACAGCCATGAAATCGTCAACAAAGACAAGGATCCACAGGAACACCTCCGAAATCTGGCAGGAGAGGCGTGTGAGGATGGCTGCCAAGCGGCCCCAATAGAGTTGAGCCGAGGCCACACCATAGGTGCCGACCTTGTTGACCCAGAACTTCTTCTTGATCTTGGCCACCATGTACTTCCAGTGCTTTTTGAGAACCTTGATCCTCCGGTGAGCCTTGCTCACATCAGACTTGAAGAGGGTCAGGTCCTTCGACGCCAGATGGAGCCAAGCGAAGAGTAAGTCGTACAGAGTCGGGGCCGTGGTCTTCTTGTCAGTGTTCGCCCTAATGTTGTCATTGACACCAATGACCGAGGCGTCGAAGATGGTCCTGACCTTGTCCAGTTCCTGGATGCCCGCCATGGCCCCGACACACAACTCTGCCACGTCGCAGGCACAGAGGTCCGCTGCCTCCTGTTCCGACAGGGGCCCAGCCACCATGTCCAGGCTCCAGATCCCTTGGCGCGCTCCCCAGCTCTTGCTTGGAAGGCCATATGTTAGGGTCCGGAAGCGTTGGGCCATCCACTCCGAGAGGGACGCCTTCATGAAGGTGATGGAGGAAGTCCCGGTCCGGGTCCTCCGCCAGCTCCACCAGAGCTTGGAGGATGTCCAACGCAAACGGCTGCCCAGGAGGCACCTCGGCTGAAACGGGTCGTTGGAGCCGGGAAGAAAGGCTTTTGGCCAGTTGTTGGCGGAGGCCTGCAACCTACTGGTCTGGCCAGGGGCAGCCCCGCGCCTGGGTCCTGAAGGGGAATCGGCACCTGTGGCAACCGTCCCAGAGGTGAGTGTCTCCTCGATCCACGGGCCCAGCCAGGCCAACTTGCATTTGCCCCTGTCTTCAGGTTTGAGTCTCCCAGGGGATGGCTTTCCACCACCATCCCTGAAGGGGCGAGAACGGTGTCCCAGCCGGACAATCAGAGTACTGGCCTCCAAAGGAGCCAACGCAGAAGCAATGGCGCGGTCTCCATCCGTGTCACCGGATGTGGAGAAGAAAGATAACAGGGCAGTGGCCAATTCAAGATTGAACTGCCAACCCCAACGGGCCAGGTCTGAACTGGACCACCAGACAGGGTGGTTCGGATGCCTGCGCCTGAGGCCATCCCAGTCCAAGGCAAGATTGCTGAGGACCGCCGTGGGTTTCCTGGCTCCGTGCCCCAGCATACACTGGTCAAAGCAGTGTATCTTCATCCGCGACAGTCCCGCGAAATCTCTACACTGGGCAGTTGCCCACCACGAAGAACAACTCTGCTGAGCCTCCGAAGTACCTTGGTTGGCGGGATCCTCCGGGTGTGCCTTGGTGCGGAAGGATCCCGTCGGCGGTGGAGGGGGTTGCTCGACCGACTCCTCTGAGCGCGTGGCCCATCGCCAATCTTCCTTCTTCTGCTTGCCCTGGGACTTGAGTCGCCCTTGCCTTTCCAGGGCCTCTTGCCTTTCCCTTTCCAAGAGTCCCACTGCTGCGAGACCTTGCCCTTGTCCTTGTCCTTGCCCTTCCCTTTCTTGGGACCTTTGGGCTGGAAGGAGTGGTGGCGGCGAAGGCAGAACTCGTCGATCTCCATCGACCAGAAGCGCGAGTTATTCTGGATTTCCTTAAGGGCGGCCGAGATGGTGAGCGTCTCATCCTTGGCCATGTTCAGGGCCACCTGGCCCCAAACCTTCCTCTCCGCTATCATCAGAACCTGCAGTGAAGGGGCGGGTTCCCGGCCCATGATGGTGTCCCCGAAGAGGAAGTTGTAAAATTCGTCCAAGTCCGCCTTAGTCAGGTGAATGCAGGAGGGACCAGTGCAGGTCGCAACAACCATGAGGAGAGACGTCCGCCAGATCATGAGGACCCGTTTCCACTGTTTCTCTGACTGGACACGGTTGGATTCCTCATGGATCCACTCATCGTCCTCCTTGCTCTGACGCCTCTGGAACTTCAATTCACCATCCTTGGGGTGGTTTGCCACTACCTTGTTGAAATCAAGCTGGGAGCCCGAAAGGACATCAACTACCTCAGGTGACACCTCCTGGGAGGGACGATCGGCACCTGAGGCAACCGCGTCCTCTACCACAGGAGGCTTGCCCGAAGTAGAGGAGCCACGGCTGGAGGTCATCAGCCGATTGCGGTTGGTCTCATCGTACATGTCCAGGCACAAACGCTGAAGGATGGGCTGTCCCTTGAGGAGACCCACCGTGTTGCAGGCTCGCAGTGTTTCGATAACACCTGCTCTCTTCACCTCGTCTTCTGATTGGTTGGTGAGCTGGGCGAGCAGAGCCAACACATCTTCAATGACAACGTCATCGGCAGCACCTGCAGGTGCCGCCCTGGCCGGGATATTGGCAGCGGCTGCCTCAGCATCCTCCTGTGGTGCCACAGGGGAAGAGAATTCGTCAAGTTCGAAGAGGTTCTGTTGCATTCTTTGAACTGCCAGGTTCTGTCTGATCTGCACAGGCAGATCGTCGTGCGAGGCACGCGGAGGAGTCGACATGACCAGCAACAGAAAACAATCAACCAAGAAAAAGACACCACGGGGACAACAACCCTGCGTCACCGAGACCCGTCGTGAGTCTGACCCAAAATGGCAGCCGGCCCGAGCAAGATGAAGAAGAAAGGCTGCTGGCTTGGCCCTATGACATGCGAGTTGATCAGTGCAAGCACGGATTCCTCTACAAAACACCACGCACGCCTGAGACCCCGTGCTCCACTGCTCGAATGTCCTGCGTGCCAGGAAGAAGCGACGCTGCAGCAGCGACCTCAGCTCAAACCGGTGTTCTAGCTACAAAATCGTGGACTGTAGAGCTTGCAAAGTTTGCCACTCTGTGCTGCCCAAGCCACGCAGTCGCCGTGTGTGACCACCAGGAAATTTCTAGCCTGGCATGCGCCCTCAACGCCGACGGACAATTTGTACTCAAGGGATTGCATGGCTGCCGTGGGGCTAAAATCTGTTCGTTTTGGTCAAGACCCTGCTGGCAAGTCATCATACAACACCAGCGACAATACTCAGTCGTGGAACGCACTAGCATTGGACCTGGATGAGTGGCACGAGTAACATCACCCTTACCCCGACCATGTTACTTGTACATTCCACCACCACCACCACCACCACCGCCCCATCACGACTGCCACTAGCCGCTGCCACAACGACTAGTCCTGTTACTGTCAATGTTACCACAATTACTGAGCCCCGGTGCCTTGTCCGTACCTCTCTGGACGTAGTGAAGGAAGGACTCGGCAAACCGCTGCCGGCCTGGACGGACCCAAATCGCTGCAACGAGGCAAAGCTGCAGATGCCCGGGGTCTTGGAGCTCTAAGGCTACGACCCGCCCCCCGCCCCCTCTATATCAGCTGCTTATACACACACACACACACGACTCACGAGCTCAGCAAAAATGACTGCAGTCTTTGCCCTCGTCTGCCTTCGGGGATGGTCTCAGGCCACTGCGGCTGTGTCCCGACCTCAGCTGCTTCGCGCCGTGACTGTGAAAATGGCCGTTGCTTTCATTGCGGGTCTTTGGGTGCGGAAAAGGCTTACAGATCAGATTCCCATCAAGTGTGTATACCACTGACTGACCTCGACTTCTGGTGCGGATTTCTGGCAACTCTGTCAGAGGTTTGGAGCCGCTCTTCAGTAGGCGGTCTTTCCTGTGGGCGGTTGCAGAATCCACGTGACCGAAGCGAAGACTTCCTACGCTGAGTCTCGATTGAAAGAGTTGACAGAATAAGCTTCTGTTTCCACCACTACTCTCGAGACTTGAGACAAAGGAGCCATCGTTGGAGGGTGCTTTTCTTTGACACAATGTGAGCATTACATGCTCTAAACCTTTCGCCAAACCCTGAAGCCCTGTGCACGATTTAATTCCCGAAAAGCCCTAAAAACCCGAAACCAAACCGTAAATACCCGGTGACAGGCTTCACACAAGGGTTCTGGGTGTCGGACACAGACCGGAGCAACCCGGTGAACTCCTCGAGCCTTACACTCCTGCACAAACGTGAGGGCAGGGGTGGCTTTTTAGGGCTTTGACTTTGGGTAAGATTCAAGTTTCGTGAAGACTTGCTATGCAGCTCCGTGCCTCCAGGATGGTGTTAAAATCTCGGTAGACATGCTCCGGCTGCTCTTTGCTGATAACGCTGGGGCCGAAGATCTCCCCGCAAGACGCATCGAACATCAGGATTGTCCTGACATGCAGCTGGCATTTGTTCGGAAGGCATGAGATGCGGGGCACGTAGCGCTGTATGCAGTCACTTTGGGCAGTCGCACAGTCTGCGAGTTCATTGCAGGGTAAACACAACTAAGAAGACTCTGAGCTGTAGTGCAAAGCCAGCACATGCGGCAGGTTCTGTGGCTAGACGGTGACAGAGCCATCATGCTTCAAGACGGTCTGGTAGCCTGAACTATTGACATACGTGCAGCTTTGTCTTGACTTCGTATGATGACAGAACTGCACAACTGAGAAGACCAGGTGACCAGACAGACGGAGGAACAGAAAGGGGGAAAGAGTCATGGCAGGCTCTCGCCAGTGCAGGCACAACTTCTGTCTGAGACAAAGCCGAGCATCGAAGGCCCGAGAACTCTGCAAATCGATGCGGCGGTCTGCACGCACCGCAAATATGGTGAGGAGACGACTACCTGAGTGACTTGCCAACTGAGTGCCACGGCAGACCTTCTGAGCTTCAGCGGAACATGCGAATGAATACTCAAGATTCGCATGATGTCCCTCCAGCCCTCCAGCAAGGCATCCGAATTTTCCATGGTCGCGAACCCTGCTACCTACTAAAACACCAAAAGCTGAACTGTTCTCGAGCAAGCGACATGAATCGTAGTGTCGTGCTGGTCCACAAAATCCTTGATGCTGTGAGCAGTTTCTATCGCTCCCGCCTCTCCATCATCACCTGACATGACAAGGTGCCTTCACCGACGATGTAATATGATAATATGATAATATAGCACTCTATAACCCATGGCCTACAGCACAGGAGCTGGACGTAGCATCATGCAGATGGAGTAGATCAGAGGAAATGAGCTCCTTGCACATCCCTGCTTGGCATCAGGGCTTCATGGCCATGGACATCGGACTGACAAGCTGAGAGTTGCGTCTCCTGCATGACACTGCTACATCAGTTCGGCAGCTATGCTACCAAATCTGCCCAAGACTTAAAGACAGTATGAAAGCTATGTAAGACGTGCCAGCTGTGCTCAGAGGAGGATCAAAGGGAAACTGCTCGTACTCCTCCGACTGCACGTACGGCGCGCCCCTGGCCAAAAGGAGACTGCACGATGTGTGCATTGACGGGATTGCCCCAGGTGTGTCGTGGTCTCAAACCTGCCGGCCTATACAAAGCATAGGACGCGTCTGCACGCTCGGCATGCCGAGCAACGCAACAGATCTGCGTTGACCGCAAGTACCTGCGTCATAGGAGTGCGGCAGCAATGCGTGATATTGCGTGATGATGCCGACGACAGCAATGAAATGGCAACATTCGCATTAGAACAAAGAGCAAGATTAAGGACGAGAAGTGGGTGTCAGAGGTTCTTGAGGGTGCCGGCCTGAAAGGGTCGGCTTCATGCAGCAACTGCTTGAATTGCGAACAGCATAGGTAGGCAACATTGTCGAATCGCACAGTCACTGGCACAGTCCTCGCCTAATGTCGGCAGTCGGGCAAGGTGAGCTAGGCTCAACCAAGAGCACCTGAGCCACGTGATTGTGGCGGTAGAGAAGTGCTGTGACGCATCAACTTCGAACCATGACTCCATTATTCCATGATGTGTTCCAAAGGCTTATTGAGATCTGAAAAGGCTTTGCGGCATGGTCAGGGCAAAGGCAGAGCAGGACCACATACGAACAGCGGCGCTTCTGGCCAAGTTGCATCACATTGGTTCATCATGATTAGCTGTACTCGGCGCAGGCCCGAAACTCCTGCGCTGAAGCTTCCATACCGTCTAGGCCGACCATCCTCGATCATCTGGGGACTGTAGGAATATCCTACGGCTCCTTTCGAGAAGAATACTTGTCAGATGTGACGGAACACTGTTCATTGATCTGAGCCCCAACTTACTTCATAAAAGATGACAAGGGCATAGCACAGTCAACAAGCTTAACCGAATCGCAAAACCAAGTTGCGGCCGCTGAAGGCTTCCAAAAGCTCCAAACCTACCCTGAACGTCGAAGGCCAGAGAGTCTTCAACATCCCAACGCTAGGCTACAACTGTTGCAAACAAAACGCATCCTTATGTCTACATCCGAGGAGGGCACGTAACTCATCCCTCAGACCCGATATAGGCAAACACCGATGTTTAAAACTTACGATTACCCTCAATCCCGAAGAATTGAAACCAGGCCTGTTGCTCAACGCTTGGCATGCCTTCCTTTTCTGGTCCCAAACCCCACCTTCTATCCTGAACGTGGGAGGGATCAGGTGTCTCCTTAGTTTTGGCCGACCAAGTCCAACTGACTTCGTCGGGTGCGCCGCATGGCGCTATGGCATCTGGTGCCTTCTGGAGCCAAGATGTTTCGGCATCGAAGCCATGCACACTCCTTGGTCATCATTTGGGCTGCGCGCGATCAGCTCGTCTAACAGACGCACACACACACACACACACAGACCCACAGCACGCGTGCACGCGAATGCAAAGGCGGGAACTTTGACGTGTGCCGTGTGCGCCCCGCTGTTTCAATACTGTCTTCGTGTGTAGGCTTCTCACCCTAACGGCATTCTCAGAGCTCCGTGAATCCGTGGCCCGAACTGCACCCGTCTCTTTCCTCGAGCCAACCTGGCAAAGACCGGCCCCTACGTCTGCAGAAATGACAATAGGCTAGCAGGACAAATGCTTGAACAGGCAAGCGCAACAGCATTCGTGAACCCTGACGTGCAAACAAACATGTAGTAGGACTTATGAGCGATCACTCTCAACATCATCAGTGACTTTGCACTCGTGCTCTGTATGGAAGGCTCTCTGGTTCTTGTGCTGGCTAGTGAGCTAGTGCCGTCATGATAGGAGCTGCGCAGTACCAGCTTTGAACTTGTTTGCCCGATGGATATGGGGGCTTTCATGATCAGAATAGGGCTTGCGGTACCATTACAGTCAACGTGTATTTCGCAACCCTAAGACATGGTACTTGTACCTGCTCAGGCGCCAATGGTAAGCTGGTAATAACCTTGTAGGGGTCGTGGAACCCCACAAAAGTCTCTGGGCCAAAGGCACCCGGAGGCAGGCGTGCATCGCTTGGATATGACGGAGCTCCATTGTGGAAACTACGTTCTATCAGGGTGACCTTGCCGCCTCGGTACTATGGCGCTTCGGAAGGCTGCTGGGGTTGGGGATAAGGACTTTTTCCAAGGATGGCTTGCATGGCGTTGAAGAGTGTTCTGAAAAGTGGAATTGCGTAGCATTGCGCCTTGGGGTGGAACGGTGGGTGGTGCCAGCTCAAGCACACCAAGGTTATTATGACCGCTTCTTGGTTTCAAAGGTCGAGTTCCACCGCAAAAATTCTGCCACGACAAAACGGCACGCTCCCACACTTTCTCCTCTGAGGCACCGAAGCTGCAGCAAGGGGACAACCACTGTTGCATGGTGCAATCGCGGCAAGAAAATCCAGACCAACGTTTCGGAATTGCCTCCTCAAGGCTCTTTCCCTTAGCATCTGCTTCCGGCACAGCGCCAGCTGTGGCTGGGGCATTGCATAGCAACGGCATGATCTAAGTTAACATGCTGAGTGGTGATCACAGCCACAGCCCTATCAAACTGCGGCTTCCACAGGCCGCAGGAGCGATGCCTCTGCGAATTGCTACTGGTAACCGATCAAATCATATTTCAACCCTAGGCTTCGAGCTCGAGAGCACTTCTTGCGGGTTTTTTGGGGGACAACAAAAATCAACTCAGAGCTCGGCTGCCTGGGCTGCAGGGTGCTTAAAAGCTTTTTTGAATAGGGGCATGGTTGTTGTTGAAACAATGCGGCACAGGAAGCATGGACATTCCCATCCACGTCCAAACACCGTACTGTGTTATCGCGTAGCAAGCTGGGGCCCACGGCTTTCAGTCCCTGTTTCCTGTGCCGTCAAGCTAGGCTTAAGCGGCCAGGTGCCCTTATCAAGGCCAGCTCATCAATGAGCCAAGATCTCAGTCAATTGCTGATATCTCAGCTCGGTCAGCTTGCTGACAGCTACTCACGCATAGTTCAAAAGTGCATATATGGCTCTCTGCCATTTAAATACAACCTCGGAATTGACGTACGGCACTCCACCTGTTTCACTGACGATGATCAAACACCTGTTCCAGCCCGAATGCTTACAACCTCGGTAGGCAAACGACTGGCCACAACTTCAGAGTAAGCTCGTCCACCTTAGGTACGGTTTGGTGAAAATTCGGAACCTTGCCTGTCGCACATCCTCGCCACTCCACGGCACGTGACAAATGTACTCCCAACAAGGACAGCAACAAAGTGCCCGGAGGCCAGATTTCGGATGGACACTCTGTCCAACTGCAGCATGCTTTGCTCCTTCCTCCCCGCCAAGATGGAAGAATAGCAGAAACAGCGGTTCCAGCTACATGGCTACATGGTCGGAAGGGCTAAAGCCTGTCTGCGGCAGCTTGAGCGAGCTCATCCGTATGCCTTGCCCAAGGTCATCTCAGGTCATCTGTACTCACCGGTAGTTCCTCGGCAATGATTTACGCAGGAGTCGCCGGCTGCCTTCTACTGAGTCGGACTCGAGCTAGCCGAAAATTACGAGAACCTCCACTACTGCTCACATCGTTTAGAAGCTCCCTTTGCAGTGCAGGTCTCGGATTGTTGGCATCGAAGCCCAGGTCTGTCACAGCCATCTTTGTAAACTTCTTCTTCTCCTCGCACACACATTGACATGAAGGCAGCGCCGCAAGCACGTGAGTAGTTGTAGCCACCATGACTGTAAAGACATCTAAACAGTTTAGAAAGACTTTGCATTGCTGATGTGATGCGCAGGTCGCGGTCCTTCTTTTTCGGCTGCGGGGCTGCCACCTTCTTCTCGCCCGGCGCATGTGCAGCCTCGACCTGCTTGTGATCGAGAGCCACATAATAGGAGTCTTTAATCATGTAGTAGACAGTAGGCGAATACCAGCCACCATCGCAGGAATCACAATGGCCGCAAGAGCACTGGACGTGAGGCCAAGGAGAACTCCGTAGAGGTCGCAGTAGCAGTAGCAGTAGCAGTAGTAGTAGTAGTAGTAGCAGTAGTAGTAGTAGTAGTAGTAGTAGTAGTAGTAGCAGTAGCAGTAGCAGTAGCAGTAGCAGTAGTAGTAGTAGTAGTAGTAGTAGTAGTAGTAGTAGTAGTAGTAGTAGTAGTAGTAGTAGTAGTATCGTCGTCGTCGTCGCAGTAGTATTGGTGGTGCTGGTGGTAGTAGTAGTTGGAGTAGGAGTAGGGTTTAGAGTAGGAGTGGCAGTAGGAGTGGTCGAGTAGTCGTCGTAGTGGTAGTAGTGGTGGTAGTGGTGGTAGTAGGAGTAGTAGTAGTAGTAGTAGTAGTAGTAGTAGTAGTAGTAGTAGTAGTAGCAGTAATAGCAGTAATAGCAGTAATAGCAGTAATAGCAGTAGCAGTAGCAGTAGCAGTAGCAGTAGTAGTAGTAGTAGTAGTAGTAGTAGTAGTAGTAGTAGTAGTAGTAGTAGTAGTAGTAGTAGTAGTAGTAGTAGTAGTAGTAGTAGTAGTAGTAGTAGTAGTAGTAGTAGTAGCCGCCACAAGTGCTCAAGCGGCCGCGCTGAATGAGAGGTTTCGAACAGGCTTGGGGCGCAACTGCTGTGCTAGAGGTTCCAACCGGGCCCTTTTCTGAACAGTAAAGGTTTGTGCCTCCTTCTACGCCATGGTCCTCTCCCTTTTCTCACAGGAGCTGCTTTGAGCCGCCAGGTCCCAATTCCTGGGCCCAGACTCTGTTTAAAACATTGCAACACTGGGTAGGCGGTAGGGTTTCCACCTCCGCGCGGTGGAGGGAGTCATTAGGCTTCTGTCTCTTGACGAAAGTAGCGGATGGCGCAATTGCCAGTGCACTCACAAAACTTTGCATCTCTTCGTAAGAATTCGTTCAAGACAGCATGTAGAAGGACAGTCCGTAGTGACGGGCCCGTACCATACCGAGGGCAGGTTCTGACACCTACCCTGGTTGATCGTCTGGGGGTGCGCCCCCCACCCACTCGAAGAGAGCTTCAGTCACAGACTGCTGACTCCCCTGCATATGGCACAGCCTCCCGCAGGGCAGGAAGGTTGGAAAGATCCATTCGAGTTCTTTCGTGGAACGCGGGCCACCTAGGCCAACAGCAATGGGGCGAACTCAAAACATGGCTAGCAGCTGAAGCCTCTCATCACTGCGACATCCTCATATTGCAGGAAACGCACTGGACTGAGACCAGCGAATTCAGTGTTTCTGGGTGGTACTGTATCTCCTCAGCCTCGGAGTCTACCAAACCCAACACCCGGCCTAAACAAGCAGCAAAGCGAAACACTCGGCAAGAACCGCGAGCCCCATCCACGACTCGCGCTGATGGAGTCATGATCCTATTCTCTCCCAAGTTCGTCCCCAAGAGCTTACGCTGGAAGGAGTGGAGCCCGGGTAGAGTCTTAGAAGCTCGCGCGGACATTGCGGGTACTCGGCTGGTTGTTGTCGCGGTGTACCAACACGCTTGGTCTTCTGCCAAGACCATCCAGTCCAATAAGGACGACCGTGCTAAGGTGCTATCTGTCATGTCCAAGGTGATCAAGCAGGTGCCTAAGAGGGACTCCCTTATTGTAGCAGGTGATTTTAACACTTCCTTGCGTCCGAGCTCTCCATTGGTGGGACCGCACGTGAAGCCACCTACTGAGGACCGCCCTGATGAATCCAACTTGTTTAACCTGCTGCTCAGGTTGCGTTTGGTTGCCCTCAACACCTGGCAATGTGACCATATAGCTACCTTCTCACAAGGAGGAGTGGAGTCGCAAATTGACTTCATTCTAACCAAAGAATCTACGGCGGGAGGCAAAGCAAAAAGGTCAGCCCCCTGGGTGGACTGCCCGTTGGGAAGCTGGAAGAAAGGGGGCATTACCCGCTTAAAGCTGACGTACCCCTCCAGCATCACTGGCTGCTCCCATCCCACAAACCCAGCACGCGCCGTTACGATTCACTAGCTTTACAGGCCTCGGTCAGAGAGGAGGACGAGACGGCAAAGGCACTGCACAGCTGGATAGCTTCCAGAATTGACACCTGCCAGGACCCCAAGGCATGGAATGCGTTGCTTTTGGAAGGTGCAGAACGCTTTTTCCCAAAAATTCCCAAAAGAATACCGATTCTGCTGGAATCGGAAACCCGTCGCATGTGGCGGGCCCGCACCCATGACAGGGCTGCGAATACTCCCTCAGCACAGCTGATCGAGTCACCTAAAGCAATGGCACAGCCTCCTAATCGGAACACGCCACGTCCGCCGGAAACAGAAGCTGAGCTGGCACAAGTGGCACATCGCCAAGCTGTGAAACAAGCAAAGAAAGATCGAATTGCAAGTTTCATATCGGAGGTAGATGCGAGTCTAGCTGAAGGTGATCAACATATCTCCTTCCAGACCCTCAAAAAGCTGCAGCCTTGGCAGCCCGCGCGCAGAGCTCAGCTAAAGGACAACACAGGACATCTCCTAGGTCCAGCGCAGGAACTAGCAGCCCTCAGGGACTATGCCAATCAGGTATTTGCGGCCCACCCTCCGTTACGGACAATGCATGGAGCTTTCCCTGCTTTGGAGCCACCCAAACTAGCAGCTCACATACATTCCATCAAGCCGAACAAAGCTGTTCCTGACGGAGCGGCACCAGCGGCTGTATGGAGGCTGTGTAGCGATCTCGTTGCACCGGTCCTCTCCGAACACGTAGCATCCAAGCAGGCCGAGGACAGTCTAGAATCCGACCTAGTAGACGCAGATCTCTGTTTAATACCCAAGCCGGGCAAGCCCTCTGACAAACCCGCAAACCTGAGACCCCTGGGCATCCTTAGACCTGACGCTAAGGGACTGGCGGGAGCGGCCAGAGAAGCGCTTCAACCACTGACCTCTCGTTCCTCAAGCACATGCCACAGTTCGCTTATCTACCAGGTCGGGGGCTGTCAGACGCGCTAGAACGCGTGGTGCATCACTTGCGAGAGGCTCGATCCCTGTTAGAACAGGCTCACCCCACGAGACATGCCTTGCAACAAGGCACACAGGCCCCAGCCTTAGTCGGCGGCCTCACCTTTGCTCTTGACCTCAGCCAAGCGTTTGACACTGTCTCTCGCCAAGAGATCATCGACCTTCTTCAGAGAGAAGGGGCCGATCAGGACACAGTCCATCTTGTTCAGGCTCTACATGACGGGTCTCGTTATGTTCTTCACGCGCAGGGAGATTCCACCTCTGTTGTAACCACAGCAGGCATTAAACAAGGATGTAAGCTCGCCCCCACACTCTTCTCGTTCCTTACAGGTGACCTTTTCCGCTCTCTGGTCGACCTTTTCGGTGCTGAGCAGGTCTTGAAGTTCCTGACTGGCTATGCCGATGATCTCACGCTCCATCGGACTATCCGCTCTGACAAGGACCTCAGGGCCATTCATGCTCTCATCGCAGCGCTACTTGAAGAGGTCCGCAAACACCGCCTTCGCGTCAACATTAGCAAGTGCGTCATCTTAGTGAAGTTAGCGGGAAGAGAATCCCAAAACGTGATGAACAAACATGGCTGCTGGATCACCAACTCAAAGGGCGAGCAGGTTCGCGGATGGCGCATAGGGCCCAACAAATCTTTCCCCGCCTTCCAGTGGGTCTCCTGTAGCAAGTATCTGGGGGTTATGATCTCCTACAACCACTTCGAGCTGCAGTCCTTGCATTACCGCATTGGGGAAGCCAAGCAAAAGCTGCATCAAGTCCGCCAGTTTGTCTACAATCGCCGGCACGCGAGCACCATGTCGAGACTTAAGGTTTGGCAAAGCACAGTCCTGAGCACACTGACTACAGGCCTCTCAGACGTCGGACTTAGCGAGGAGTCGGCCAAGCAGCTACGTAGTTGGCATGCTTACAAGGTGCGATCAGTGCTGAACTTGCCAGCACACACCAGCCGCATCACCACTAAGGACCTCTTCCAGCTTTATAGCATTCAGGACCCAGTTCAAGCGATGCAGGTCAAGCTCAGGAAGCGACTCCGCAAACTTGAGCGGCGTGCAGCCAGAAGCCCAGATATCACAACCGATCCTGCTGTCCTGCAAGTCATCCGGGACAAGCTGCATTTCATGTCACAGCTCCCTGAAACAGTTGAGCACCCTGTAGCCCTACATGCATGCACACTCTGCGATGCCTCCTTCGAGACAGCAAACGGGTTACACTTACACAAGTCGAGAGTGCATCCAGCCAGCATTGACCGATTTGTGCCATCAAGCTTCGATCGGCAACTCCACGCGGTGGATGGGATGCCGCAATGTGCCGCTTGCATGCGCAAATTTCATCAATGGAAAGGTCTACGTGACCACCTGTTGTCAGGAGCATGTCCGGAACCCCAGAAGCTTCGAACTCTGAACGTGACTGACAAACACTCAAGTCACCCTGAGGTAAGGACCCTGTCCCAGCTGCGACAGGACATTGCCCAACTCCCACAACATCGAATAGCGGTGATCTCAAAGACACCGGAGGCCCGGGTCCTGATCCATAGGTGCCTCACGTGTGACTTCTGGACTTTCGATCACACTAAAGTCAAGTCACACTTCCGTCAGGCGCATCCTAAGGACTGGTCAAGGCTGCACAAGCGCGCAGTCTCTATATGTCAGGGTTTCTCGCCTCACCTTGCCAAGGGACACCCGTGTTCATTCTGCGGCTACAAGGTCTATGATCGTCGACTGCACCCGGAACAATGCCCCGTACTTTATCAGGTGAGTACACAGTGGCTGCGAGGGCAACCGGAGGCAGAGGAAGCCGTTACTGCTCCCCCCTCCAAGCCCCAAGAACGGTCACTGACCCACTTCTTTAAGCCACGGTCGAATGGCACAGCCTCCAATCAGTCGAGCACAGCTCGTCACAACCCCGGCAGACA